CCAGGTGTGAACTCCTTCCTCTTCTTCATGGCCTACAAAGACCGATACCAGAGCTCCGACTCTCAGGTAACGAACTACAGAGCTGTCCGGGGTTTAATTATTATCATTATTTTATTTTATTTTATTTTATTATTATTATTAATATTAATATTATTATTATTATATTTATTATTAATATTAATATTATTATTATTAATAATAAATATAATGTTATATTTTAAGTATATTTTCATATTTTCGAAGTGAAACTTTTCTCTCTAACAACCTGAATAACTTTTCTTCTTTTCTTCTTTTCTTCGTGATTTGACGGTTTCAGCTCTATGAGGCGTTCGGCGTCCTCCGAGATCTCGGCGCCATCGCACAGGTCCACGCTGAAAACGGTGACATCATCGATGAGGTAAAAGAGCCAGCCAATCAGAAGCTCTACTTTTCCAAAAATTAATAAAGACATAAAATAAAAAAATAAAAAATAAAAAATTAAGATTAAAACTCTTTGAATTGGTTTGTACTGGTTTATACAGATCTAAACTGGTTCAAACTGGTTTAAACTGGTTTAAACTGGTTAATCCTTGTTTGTACTGGTTTATTCAGATCTAAACTGGTTTAAACTGGTTTGTACTGGTTTATTCAGATCTAAACTGGTTTAAACTGGTTTGTACTGGTTTGTACTGGTTTATTCAGATCTAAACTGGTTCAAACTGGTTTAAACTGGCCTCTTTGTCCTCTCGTCTGTTTTTCCAGGAACAGAAGAAGCTTCTCTCTCTCTCCATCACAGGACCAGAAGGTCATGTTCTGTCTCACCCTGAGGAGGTACCTGTGATGACATCACCACACCTGTTCTTGTCATGTGACCAATCAGTGTCACACAGGTGTGTTGTTTTGTGTTACAGGTGGAGACGGAGGCCGTTCACAGAGCGATCACCATCGCCAAACAGGCCAACTGTCCTCTCTACGTTACCAAGGTGATGAGCAAGTCAGCTGCTGATGTCATCGCCAAGGCTAGGAAGAAAGGTGATGTCACCTGACCTTTCACCCTGACCTTTCACCCTGAACTTCATCATGATCTTTGTCCTGATTGTGACTTAAGTTTCATATTTTTTTAATAGATACTCCGATATTTTTAATCCGATATTTTAACTCCGATATTTTAACTCCGATATTTTTACTCCGATATTTTAACTCCGATATTTTAACTCCGATATTTTAACTCCGATATTTTAACTTCGTTATTTCAGACCACAGTTGTAACTTTAGTTTCTCTCCGACCTCGTCACGCCGTCCGCTCCTCTGAGGTGATCTTCTCAGGTCTGCTGAAGATGAACTTCTTTAACCTTTCAGATCAGGACAGACTCAGGGTCTAACTAAGACCAGGTCTTTGGTCCAGGTCTGTGGTCCAGGTCTGTGATCCAGATCTTTGGTCCAGGTCTGTGGTCCAGGTCTGTGGTCCAGATCTTTGGTCCAGATCTTTGGTCCAGGTCTGTGATCCAGATCTTTGGTCCAGGTCTGTGGTCCAGATCTTTGGTCCAGGTCTGTGGTCCAGATCTTTGGTCCAGATCTTTGGTCCAGGTCTGTGATCCAGATCTTTGGTCCAGGTCTGTGGTCCAGATCTTTGGTCCAGGTCTGTGGTCCAGGTCTGTGATCCAGATCTTTGGTCCAGGTCTGTGGTCCAGCTTTAGGAGGAAGTCCTCATGGACCTTCATAACTCGTCTTCCTCCTTCAGGGATGGTCGTGTACGGAGAGCCAATCACAGCCGGTCTCGCCACCGATGGCTCTCATTATTGGTCCAAGGACTGGGCAACAGCCGCCGCCTTCGTCATGAGCCCGCCTTTGAACCCTGACCCTTCAACCCCGAACTATCTGACCTCTCTGCTGGCATGGTAAGTATGACTCCGCCCCCTATGACTCTCCCTGTGTGAGCATGCTCAGTAGGATCAGCCCTCTCTCCAGGTGTGACCCTCACAGGTTTTCCTCATGTGTTTGTCTAGTGGTGACCTTCAGGTGACCTCCAGCGCTCAGGCGAGCTTCACCACGGCGCAGAAAGCGGTCGGTAAAGACGACTTCACCCTGATCCCGGAGGGAACCAATGGGATCGAAGAGAGGATGTCGGTGGTGTGGGACCGCGCCGTGGTGAGAAAACGAGCGAATTTTAGAAGAAGAGCGGCGAGATCATTTTCCTCCGATATTTAACCGAGATATTAAAACTTAACCGAGATGATTTAGCTCAGATATTTGGAGCCCAGATGTTCTCTTTTCTACGGTTTAGCTCAGATTTAGGATCTATTAGTCGTCTCATAAATAAAATTTTTATTTCCTGTTGTTTCTGTTTTTCCTTTTTTTTTCTCTGCAGTCGACGGGGAAGATGGACGAGAACGAGTTTGTCGCAGTGACCAGTACCAACGCTGCGAAACTCTTCAACATTTACCCCCGTAAAGGTGACCAATCAGACGGCACAGTCAGATCAGGTGACACATTGGTTATTGATTTGAATCTTTAGATTTATGAACGTCGTGAATGATTCTGTTTTTCAGGACGGATCGCCGTCGGTTCGGACGCCGATATCGTCGTCTGGAACCCGAAGGAGACACGAACCGTTTCTGCAAAGACTCACAACCTGGTAACACCTCATGGATCTTCATCATCATCATCAATAACCGCTCATCATAAACTCCTCCTCCTCCTCCTCACTGCTCACCTGTCTGTGTGCAGACTGTGGAGGTGAACATCTTGGAGGGTTTGGAGTTCCGTGGCGTGGCGACGGTGGTGATCAGCGGAGGTCGAGTCGTCCTGGAGGACGGAAAACTCAACGTGAGCGAAGGATCGGGACGCTTCATCCCCAGAAAGGCTTTTCCTGACGCCGTCTACAAGAGGATCCGAGCGCGCAGCAAGGTAACGGGGTGAACTCACCCGTCCTCACCCGTCCTCACCTGTCCTCACCCGTCCTCACCTGTCCTCACCCAGAGACGGATCAGAAAACCCCGAGCTTGACCCCTTAATGTCCCCGACTTCTGGTTAACTTTGAAACTTGACCTTCGACTGACGGTAGAACAAACCAGAACCTTTCTCAGAAAACAGGAGTTTGAAAAGTAGTGAACTGTGTTTACCAGAGGATAACGAGCAGGTTACTGACTGACGAGCAGGTTACTGACTAACGAGCAGGATACTGACTGACGAGCAGGTTACTGACTAACGAGCAGGTTACTGACTAACGAGCAGGATACTGACTAACGAGCAGGTTACTGACTAACGAGCAGGTTACTGACTAATGAGCAGGTTACTGACTAATGAGCAGGTTACTGACTAATGAGCAGGTTACTGACTAATGAGCAGGTTACTGACTAACTGTTTAATGAAGGTGGGATCTTAAAGTCATCAGAGGTTTCACCAGGTTAGCCTGTTCTAATGCTAACAGGTTAGCCTGTTTAAACGCTAACATGTTAGACTGTTTAAACGCTAACACGTTAGCCTGTTCAAATGCTAACAGGTTAGCGTTGGCGTTGGATGAAATGGTCGACAGTTCTCCACGACTCACTCTCTTTTTTTTGGCGTCTAAGATGGCTGAGGCTCGCGGCGTCCCCCGGGGAAACTATGATGGTCCTGTCCATGATGTCATCAGCATGACAAAGTCAGTCCCGCCCACTCCAACCACCCGGGGCCCGCCGTGTCCCAAAACCTTGGTGGGCCCCCGAAACCTGCACCAGTCTGGATTCACCTTGGCAGGTAGAGTTACCAGCTGCAGTAAATATGTGAGGTGCATTATGGGTAAGCACAGGAAGTGACGACCTTAATAGGAACTAATTTACACGAGCAGATTTAAGTACATTTTTGAAATCAGTTTTTACTTCAATTTTTCTCATTTCTCATCTTTAACTTTAACATCCTTCCCTTTTTCTTTTTTCTTTCTATTTTGTTTCTTTCTCTCTTTCTTTCTGTTTTTCTTTCTTTCTGTTTTTCTTTCTTTCTCTCCTTCTTTCTTCGTCTCTTTCAGGAGCTCAGATTGACGATCACATCCCTCGTCGCTCGGCTCAGAGGATTGTGGCGCCCCCTGGTGGCGTATCTAACATCACTTCTCTTTCTTAGAGAAATCTGATCTTTTGTTTTTTTTTAACTAAAGTCTGAAAATCAAAAACTGAATCGATCCCCGATCATTACCCCTCGTACAGGTGAGCGTTAGATCGTAAACCTTTCCGATGTTTCATTTCTTCATCGTAGTTTTACTCCGACAGGTTAAGTACCGACCAGTACTTTACCCATTTAAACCTCAGTTAACTCTGACACTGAAGTACTTTCTCTAGTTTTAAATTATACAACACGCTTACAAGAACTATTGGCAGTACTTTTACTGTGAGTACACGTCAAATACCCCAGCTGTGAGTCGAGAACAAAAGTCGTCAGACGAGTTCTGAGCTAGCGCTGACCCTGTTTCTTCAGATTTGACCGTCTGGTTAAAGTTCTGACTGAACTTAACTTATTAAATATTCGTCTTATAAATAAGTTCGACCTTATTTAACAGCTAAACTAGGTTTTAACCCTTTGGTCGTCTTGTCTTTTAATTAAGCTCGTTATATTAGCCTACTAAAGTCCGATAACAGTTTTACTTTAAGTCCTACAAGTTGAGTTAACTAGTCGTCTATTATAAACTATTATCTAACTAGTACAACAGTCTGAAGCAGTACTTTTACTGGTACAGATACCAGGTTGACTAATGTAACTAGTACTGAATACGTGGTATCATATATGGACGATAAAATATCAACAGTACTAGTTACTAGTTACTTTTATTGGCTTAACCATTAAACCAGATTAAAATACTGAACATCACATTTCTTATTGTGTCTCATTTATTTACTTTTAACCTCGTCTGACAACTAAACGAATCTAAACGACTGTTGATGTTCTCAGTACTGACCCGAACTCTCGTTTAGAGTTTAACTCTTTTTTTCTTTGGTTATTTATTCGTTTACTCATTAAATCCTTTTATTTATCTACTTCTGTCATCTGTAACATTTCACTGTGAGTAAGGAAGTTCAAGTATTACTACAATTACTCAAAACCTGCTCTACAACCTACTAACTGAACCATTAAAGTACTTGTACAAGTAAAACAACTGTACTTCATAAAGCACTGGAACTACACAGGCCCTAAAACAACCAAATTAATCTGTAACAGCTGACCAAGTACTTTAATCTCAACTGTAGTAGTACCACTGAACATTTTAAGACAGTACACATACTGCTGAACAACTTGTACTAAGAGTTATGAAGACAGTATCACAACAACTCAAAAGTACACCTATACTACCACTTGATCCTACGTTCTGTGCTCAGATTAAATAATTAGGGATTATTACGATTATTTCAACACCCCAACAAAGTAGAGAGTACTTCAGCTTCACAGTTTTAGTAGAGTTTGATTTCTGCGATCGTATATTTGACCGAGTACAGGTGAACGCCAAGACGCCATTTTATCATCTTTGAACGGAACGTCATCTTCACCTTTTTTCAGTGCTTTCCGAACTCTCGTTAATAAAGAAGGAGTAAAGGTAGTAAAGGTAGTGAGTACTTTGTACTGCAACTGTCTGAGACAAAGTTTATCGCAAAATCATTTCGTCTTTTTTTCTCCTTTAAACCCGAATTCTTTCTGTTTAAGGTTTTGATCAAAAACTGCTCAAAGTATCAGTGTCAGTCAGAACCACGATCATTCTTCATCAGTTCGTCCTTTTACGATAAACCTAACCACGATCATTCTTCATCAGTTCGTCCTTTTACGATAAACCTAACCACGATCATTCTTCATCAGTTGGTCCTTTTACGATAAACCTAACCACGATCATTCTTCATCAGTACGTACTTTTACGATAAAAATAACCACGATCATTCTTAATCAGTACGTAGTTCTACGATGACTAAACCACGATCATTCTTCATCAGTTCGTCCTTTTACGATAAAAATAACCCCTATCATTCTGCATCAGTTCGTCCTTTTACGATAAAAATAACCACGATCATTCTTAATCAGTTCGTCCTTTTACGATAAACATAACCACGATCATTCTTCATCAGTTCGTCCTTTTACGATAAACATAACCACGATCATTCTTAATCAGTACGTAGTTCTACGATGACTAAACCACGATCATTCTTCATCAGTTCGTCCTTTTACGATAAACATAACCACGATCATTCTTCATCAGTATGTTGTTTTACGATAAACATAACCACGATCATTCTTCATCAGTTCGTCCTTTTACGATAAACATAACCACGATCATTCTTCATCAGTATGTTGTTTTACGATAAACCTAACCACGATCATTCTTCATCAGTTCGTCCTTTTACGATAAACATAACCACGATCATTCTTCATCAGTACGTACTTTTACAATAACCTAACCTTAGCTAATGTCAGTGAATGATGTTCTGGGTCGTTAGTTGCTGGTAGTTACGTGTTTAGTCCTGATCCGTGTTTTTATTGATCTGGTTTTGTCCAGACTGACTGAGTTCGACCTGAAACTTCGTCGGCTCAGTGACTTTAACGTTTAGAGTTTTATTTATTGACGATGTGAAAATTAAACGGACTCTCACATTTCAGTGTTTATATAAAAGGTGCTTATAGATCCAGACTAAGCCTGTAAGTAGCAGTCCCTTCAGAAGCACGCCCCCTTCAGGAAGACAACAGAATTACCGCTCCTTCTTGAATTTCTAAAGTAACATGAAAATAAAATAAAATGTTTCCCTCAGATCTGACTGAAGATACGAACAAAATACTGGACTCTGCAAGATCTACCCTCTACTGGTCTATACTGGGTTATTCTGTGTGAGGATGGTCTGGACCGTTCTGGTCTGGACGGTTCTGATCTGGACGGTTCTGGTCTGGACGGTTCTGATCTGGACGGTTCTGGTCCTGACCATTCTGATCTGGATGGTTCTGGTCTGGACGGTTCTGGTCTGGATCTGATAGGTTCATTGAAAGTGCAGTTCTCTGTGTGGCCAGCAGGGGGAACAGTCTTATGTCTTCAGTACGTCCAGAGTCCGGTTCTGCTGTCAGAGGTTCGCACCTTCCCTTCTCGCTCTGTGACCTTTGACCTTTGAGGGGATTTTTTTTACAATGTTTTTGATTCGTAAAGTTTTATTTGATAAACACGATCATTTTGTATTTTTTACGGTTTTTGTATTCTGGCAGTTTTAGCATCAGTGAGTGTCCTACTATCCAACAGTTCAGTCTTCAGGAACCACAGGCCGCCATGTTTGTGCAAAGCTGTTACTACGGTAACGACACGTTCCGTCGCCATTTTACGAACATGAACATGTAAGAAAAAAGACAAAACAGAGAAGTGACGATTTTGTTTAACGAAAAACTGGAAATAAAAATTAATAAAACTGAAACGACATAAACTGACGAGGGAGAAACAGACAACTGACCAAAACAGACAACAGACCAAAACAGACAACTGACCAAAACAGACAACTGACCAAAACAGACAACTGACCAAAACAGACAACTGACCAAAACAGACCAGACTACAGACAACTGACCAAAACAAACAACTGACCAAAACAGACAACTGACCAAAACAGACCAAAACAGACAACTGACCAAAACAGACCAAAACAGACAACTGACCAAAACAGACAACTGACCAAAACAGACCAAAACAGACAACTGACCAAAACAGACCAAAACAGACAACTGACCAAAACAGACAACTGACCAAAACAGACAACTGACCAAAACAGACAACTGACCAAAACAGACCAGACTACAGACAACTGACCAAAACAAACAACTGACCAAAACAGACAACTGACCAAAACAGACCAGACTACAGACAACTGACCAAAACAGACCAAAACAGACAACTGACCAAAACAGACAACTGACCAAAACAGACAACTGACCAAAACAGACCAGACTACAGACAACTGACCAAAACAGACAACTGACCAAAACAGACCGAAACAGACAACTGACCAAAACAGACAACTGACCAAAACAGACCAAAACAGACAACTGACCAAAACAGACAACTGACCAAAACAGACCAAAACAGACAACTGACCAAAACAGACCAAAACAGACAACTGACCAAAACAGACAACTGACCAAAACAGACCAGACTACAGACAACTGACCAAAACAGACAACTGACCAAAACAGACAACTGACCAAAACAGACCAGACTACAGACAACTGACCAAAACAAACAACTGACCAAAACAGACAACTGACCAAAACAGACCAGACTACAGACAACTGACCAAAACAGACAACTGACCAAAACAGACCGAAACAGACAACTGACCAAAACAGACAACTGACCAAAACAGACCAGACTACAGACAACTGACCAAAACAGACAACTGACCAAAACAGACAACTGACCAAAACAGACCAGACTACAGACAACAGACCAAAACAGACAACTGACCAAAACAGACCAAAACAGACAACTGACCAAAACAGACCAAAACAGACAACTGACTAAAACAGACAACTGACCAAAACAGACCAAAACAGACCAGACTACAGACAACTGACCAAAACAGACCAGACTACAGACAACTGACCAAAACAGACTACTGACCAAAACAGACCAGACCACAGACAACTGACCAAAACAGACAACTGACCAAAACAGGCCAGACTACAGACAACTGACCAAAACAGACAACTGGCCAAAACAGACAACTGACCAAAACAGACCAGACTACAGACAACTGACCAAAACAGACAACTGACCAAAACAGACCAAAACAGACAACTAACCAAAACAGACAACTGACCAAAACAGACCAAAACAGACCAGACTACAGACAACTGACCAAAACAGACCAGACTACAGACAACTGACCAAAACAGACCAGACTACAGACAACTGACCAAAACAGACAACTGACCAAAACAGACCAGACTACAGACAACTGACCAAAACAGACAACTGACCAAAACAGACAACTGACCAAAACAGACCAGACTACAGACAACTGACCAAAACAGACAACTGACCAAAACAGACCAAAACAGACAACTGACCAAAACAGACCAAAACAGACAACTGACTAAAACAGACAACTGACCAAAACAGACCAGACTACAGACAACTGACCAAAACAGACCAGACTACAGACAACTGACCAAAACAGACTACTGACCAAAACAGACCAGACCACAGACAACTGACCAAAACAGACAACTGACCAAAACAGGCCAGACTACAGACAACTGACCAAAACAGACAACTGGCCAAAACAGACAACTGACCAAAACAGACCAGACTACAGACAACTGACCAAAACAGACAACTGACCAAAACAGACCAAAACAGACAACTAACCAAAACAGACAACTGACCAAAACAGACCAAAACAGACCAGACTACAGACAACTGACCAAAACAGACCAGACTACAGACAACTGACCAAAACAGACCAGACTACAGACAACTGACCAAAACAGACAACTGACCAAAACAGACCAGACTACAGACAACTGACCAAAACAGACAACTGACCAAAACAGACAACTGACCAAAACAGACCAGACTACAGACAACTGACCAAAACAGACAACTGACCAAAACAGACCAAAACAGACAACTGACCAAAACAGATCAGACTACAGACAACTGACCAAAACTGACCAGACTACAGACAGGTTGACTGAGAATACAGACAGGTCAGGGTCAGGGTCTGTGAAGTCCTGCAGGCTGAACTGTCGTCGTTCTTGTCGTTCTCGTCTCCTCAGATGTTCCGGCGCCAACATGGAGGCAGAAACTGCTTGTATTCCCAGAATGCTTTGCAGTCTATGCAGGAAAGTGGTTGCCTTGGCAACAGTGCATCGTTGTTGTTCCTGTAGTGAATGTAAATCTTGTGATCGGCATGAATAAACTGTGTGAAAAAACAACTGAGTAAGATGTCTGTTTAATGGACACCCTCTGGTAGCCCCTCCCCTTTTATGACATCATCACCTTTTTTCAGAGCCCCGCCTTTTTCGTCAGAAACAGGAAGTTCGGTGATAAAATGAGCCGTTTAGGGTTTGAGCCTTCACGCTCTTTGAATCTCACTTAATACAGTAGAATTGATTTGATTGGTTGATGGTTGCTATGATGGGCGGGGCTATGCCTCACTCCAGGACTGCCGAGGAAAAATGTGAGGAGAGCGAGAAACGAAGATTAACATCGATTAAAAGTTACAAATAATACAGATTATTAAAACCTTCATCAGATGAAACTTTTTACATTTTTACATCAACAAACTTATTTTAAAATAAATAATTCAAATTCATTTGAATTATACAGAAATATATCAATTAGGTAAATTTAAATGATATATATCTACATCTATATATAGAGTGAGATGTAGAAATATATGTATTTACATTTATATATATATATTTATTTATATTGCATATACATTTACATACACACACATATATAACACAAAAACGAACAACTCACTTATGCCGATCAACAGAAAAAAAGTCACGTGACTTTGGAGCAGCTGCTCGATGATGAAGCGGAGAAACCACGTGGTCATGGAGACGCACGAGCTGCTGCGGAGCTGCATCTTCACCTGAACCTGCGGTGAGTTTGAACAAAGACGTGCACAGCTGTGCGTGTGTGTGTGCGTGCGTGCGTGCGTGTGTGTGTGTGTGTGTGTGTGTGTGTGTGTGTTTGTTTCCTCTCCTGTCGGTGAAAATCAGTTTATTATTTCAGTCATTGATTACTTTCTCTCAGTGAGTGTCTGTGTATGCGCGCGACGATCACCCCCACCTATCAATTAAAATGGAAGCACGTGCAAGACGGTGTGTCGGACTCCATGTGACTCTGCAGGAGATCCTCAGAGAGACTCAGTTTGATCCTCAGCAAATATGAGAGAAAAACACCGAAACAAAATCAACCAGAGGTCCGAGAGTCTAAAAGTTTAATCTAAAGGTTTTATTTTGAAGGTTTCAGTCTAAAAGTTTAATCTTAAGGTTTTATTTTGAAGGTTTCAGTCTAAAAGTTTAATCCAAAGGTTTTATTTTGAAGGTTTCAGTCAGAAAGTTTAATCCAAAGGTTTTATTTTGAAGGTTTCAGTCTAAAAGTTTAATCCAAAGGTTTTATTTTGAAGGTTTCAGTCTAAAAGTTTAATCTTAAGGTTTTATTTTGAAGGTTTCAGTCTAAAAGTTTAATCCAAAGGTTTTATTTTGAAGGTTTCAGTCTAAAAGTTTAATCCAAAGGTTTTATTTTGAAGGTTTCAGTCTAAAAGTTTAATCTTAAGGTTTTATTTTGAAGGTTTCAGTCTAAAAGTTTAATCTAAAGGTTTTATTTTGAAGGTTTCAGTCTAAAAGTTTAATCCAAAGGTTTTATTTTGAAGGTTTCAGTCTAAAAATTTAATCCAAAGGTTTTATTTTGAAGGTTTCAGTCTGTCTTTTTTTGTTTCACCTTTAATTAAATCAAGAGAAAATAAAATTATATTTTATTACGATTGATCATTTTAATTATTCAATAAATTTCAAATTCTTTCTTATTAAAACCAAATTAGTGAATGAATCTTTTTGAACGTTGATTTCTTCATTATTGATTAAATCAGTTTTTAAACAGAATTGAATCTCATAAGACCTTCAAAATAAGAGTCCCTCTGGTTTTTTCTAAAACACCAAACTGCAGGATTATGTCATTTAAAAACGGTAATTTTGGAAACCTCGTGTTTTGCGTTTGGACATAAATAACTGGAGTTTTAAATGATCACCAACAGATAATCAATAATCGGTCTTTACTCTGCGCTCTTGTTCATGTCTGACAGTTAACAGATCAATATTTAGTGTTGTACAGTCGGTTATTCTAAACTAAGTAACTTCCTCTCGTTGACGTTAAACTCCAAAATTATGTTTAAAAGTAATTTCACCTCTTTTTTCTACAAATACGACAAACTTCAGGTCTGACATGTTTTTAACGTGTTTTTAACATGTTTTTAAAAACGTGTTTTTAACGTGTTTTTAACGTGTCAGATCAGTTAGATCACATTTATACGCTTTTATTTTGACGGGATTTTATTCGAGAAGACTTTTCTTCAAACAGAGTGGGTCTGATATTTTGTTATAAAAATAACTGGCTGTGTGTGAACAGGGCCTGAAGGTCAACCTGTCCTTCAAAATAAGAGTCTGTCCTTCAAAATAAGAGTGTGATCTGCTGCAGTGTGAGTCCAGCTGTGATGGGGGAGTCCCGACTGATTGTGGAGGAGCTTCTTGCTCTTTGTCTGCAGAGGATCAACATGGAGGAGGTGTCGGTCAGTACAGAGCGAGGTCAGAAAACACACACAAATACACACATACAGACACACACACACACACACACACACACACACACACAGATTCATGTCGAGTCAGCACAGAATCTTAAACCAGGATTGACACTGACCGAGGATCAGCTGGTTCATCTGAAGGTCAAAGTTCAAGTTTTTTCTGCACCAGTTTTTTATTTTTGTTGATTTTTTATTTTGTGAGAGAAAACTTGAATTTGTGATAAAGATGAAAAATGAGTGTTTCGGTTTAATCTTAAATCTTCAGGACTTACAGAAACTCTTAAACTCTTTGCCTTAAACGCTCCTAAAGTTTCTCCGATATAAAAGTTAAAATCCTCTTTTAACAGTTCTGCTCAGTGAGGATCTTTTTTCTTTCAGAGGTGTTGGAGGTGGTGAAGAACTTCGAGGCGGTGAGGAAACGTTGGCTTCACGCTGAGTTGGAGTTAAAGAAGTACAAAGAGCTGCTGGTGAAGTCGGACGTCGCTAAAGCCGCTCTGGAGGTCAAACTGAAACACGCCAGAAATCAGCTCGACGTGGAGATGAAGAAACGCTACAAGGTGGAGGGAGATTACCAGTACCTGGTTAGTACACTACAGAGTACACACTACAGAGTACACACTACAGAGTACACACTACTGAGTACACTACAGAGTACACTACAGAGTACACACTACAGAAAACATACTACAGAGTACTCTACTGAGTACACACTACTGTGTACACACTACAGAGTACACACTACTGAGTACACTACAGAGTACACTACAGAGTACACACTACTGTGTACACACTACTGAGTACACACTACTGAGTACACACTACTGAGTACACACTACAGAGTACACTACTGAGTACACACTACTGAGTACATACTTCTGAGCATACAGTACAGAAAACATACTACAGAGTACACACTCATTCGTGTTTTAGGTTGTTCAGGACGGCGGTTTAGAAGAAAATCTTTTTGTTGAGATTTTTTCATGAAAATGTTTTTAAATAAAATATTTGAACCAGAAACAAATTAGTGTTTCAGACTTCAGAGGATTTTATTTTGGTAACTTAAACTGTCAGTGTTTGTAGGAAGTTTATTTTGACTCGGACCCTCTCAGAGTTCCAGTCTTTTTTATCACAGACCCCGCCTCCTTCCTGTCCGATCGTTCCTCTCGATTTCCGTCTTTTTTTCAAACCTGTAAATTCTCTCCCATCTGAGCTTCATGAGGAGTTTTGGGCGTGGCGGACACAAGAAGAGTTCACACTTCCTGTTCAGTTTCAAACGACAGCGACAGAGCAGGACGGTGTGAGCGCGCTCAGTGCTGCTTCTTTTAATGGAAACCTGAAAACATCGGAAATGTGTTTTTCCTGTTTCCTCTGTCCTTCCTTCCTGTACTCAGATTTTCAAAGTAAAAGCTTTTTAATTTTCAGCCCCCCTCTCCCTTCTCTGAACAGAGTCCAGACTGTTGTGGTCATGAACTGTCCGGCCTGCAGGAGGCGCTGACAGCTCTTCTTCCTCCCCCTCCTCTGTTTTTGTCCTCAGCAGCGGCAGATGCAGCTCATGTGCGACATCCTCGTTCACGACAGCAAATCCAGCGCAGCGCTGAACGACGAGCAAAAGTCTCTGATCGCAACTTTCGAACACAAAGGAGGAAACGCGACGCTGCACCGCAGCGGCAAACGGTGAGACGCCGCCGACGTTAAAGTGAAGGTCGACATGTTCAAGATTCAGAAAAGACTTTCAGATGTTATTGATCCTCCTCACAGTTAGGGGGCAGCAGGCTGATCAATCTGCTGCATCTGGTCTGATATTTGTGATTTTTTTACTTGTTGCAGCTCCAGATTTTTTGATGTTGACGATCTGATGACGACTTTTCATTTCCTTTGTCTTCCTCTCCCCGTTTATCGTCGTCTTCTTCATGGATTAAAATCCCTGATTCTGATAGGCTGTCTGTGATCGACGAGTCGTCTTTCCTGTCTCATTCTGACATCAGCTACGACCGAACCGACGATGACGTGGTACGTTCACAAAAACACGTAACTGAGGCTCTGTTCGAGTTTCCTCAGAAGTCCGACGTCGGAGCTGAAAATGACGTCACACCCGAGTTTCCAGCGTTTCGGTCACCAAGTGGGAAGAAAACAAAAAACGGAGACAAAAAACAAGATGGCTACGGCAACGATATTTATTTTAGCACCTGCCTCGTCCGGATATCAGGCAAGCGTTAAAATAACTTTCGTAGATGCAGCCATCTTGCTTCAGGCCTCAGATTCAAACGCTGGAAACTTGAGTGTGACGTCATTTTCAGCTCCGACATCTGACGTCCGAAGTAACTCAAACGCAGCATCAGTGTCTGTTCGAACCCGAGTCTATCACAGGTGTGTTAACAGGTGTGTTGACAGGTGTGTTGACAGGTGTGTATCGCAGGTGTGTTAACAGGTGTGTTAACAGGTGTGTTAACAGGTGTGTATCGCAGGTGTGTATCGCAGGTGTGTATTGCAGGTGTGTTAACAGGTGTGTATCGCAGGTGTGTTAACAGGTGTGTTAACAGGTGTGTTAACAGGTGTGTATCGCAGGTGTGTATCGCAGGTGTGTATTGCAGGTGTGTTAACAGGTGTGTATCGCAGGTGTGTTAACAGGTGTGTTAACAGGTGTGTTAACAGGTGTGTATCGCAGGTGTGTTAACAGGTGTGTTAACAGGTGTGTTAACAGGTGTGTTAACAGGTGTGTATCGCAGGTGTGTTAACAGGTGTGTTAACAGGTGTGTATCGCAGGTGTGTTAACAGGTGTGTTAACAGGTGTGTATCGCAGGTGTGTTAACAGGTGTGTTAACAGGTGTGTATCGCAGGTGTGTTAACAGGTGTGTTAACAGGTGTGTTAACAGGTGTGTTAACAGGTGTGTATCACAGGTGTGCGTTCAGGTGTCTCGTCGTTCAGGCGTCTGTTTTTGTTTTTCTTCCTCAGGATCTCGACACGTCGGTGATCAAACCGCTGAGGTCTCGGGTTCGAGAGAAAAGGGTGAGTCAGAGTTTCACCTGTGTACCTGTGAACCTGCTGACCTTTGACCTCCCTGACTGACCTTCTCACCTGCAGCGCTCGTCTCTCGGTCCGACTCTCGGCGCTCCTGTGGTGAAGCGCGGTCGGGGCGGGAATGTTTCTGCGGAGCTTCTGGAGAGGAAACCCGTGGAGAAGGTGAACACACCTGAGGGTCATGACCTTCTGCAGGAGGATTAAAGGAGCAGTCCGAACTTTTAAATCACTGAGTGGAGCTTTAGTCCGCCGACTCTGAAAAAACGATTCTCGTTTTTCTTTTTGTTTCGGCGTTCTGCAGCGTACTAAAGCCCTGATTGGTTTTTGCTTTAGTGGGCGGGGTTTATAGATTGACGTGTGTCGCTCTTGACATCAAACCTTCGTTAAGAGGCCGACGTCAAAAATTTATCGTTAAAAAAACCAAAATGATCCGTTTTCAAAGTTAAAAGTTTATCTTTGTTTTTTTTCATTTTCTCTCAATAAAAAAAGTTTAAAAAAAATTTTTTTCATAAAAATCAAATTTTTTAATCAGTTTCAAGTTTTTTTTGTTTTTTGACTCAGGAGGTCGAGACCGTCGTGAAGGCGTCCGTGTCGGCGCCAGAATCTGGAGGTCAGATCCACATGGTTCTGGGAATCACTCAGGAGAACCTGGAGAACCGGAGCAGAACTGTGACCCAGGAGTGTGCTGTTTCTGTGGGAGGAGGAGGAGGAGGAGGAGGTGAAGGAGGTGAAGGAAGAGGAGGAGGAGGGGGTGTAGGAGGAGGTGAAGGAGGAGGAGGAGGAGGAGGTGAAGGAGGTGAAGGAAGAGGAGGAGGAGGTACGGAAGGAGGAGAAGGAGGAGGTGAAGGAGGAGGAGGAGGTACGGAAGGAGGAGAAGGAGGGGGTGTAGGAGGAGGTGAAGGAGGTAAGGAAGAGGTGGAGGAGGTAAGGAAGGAGGAGGAGGTGAAGGAAGAGGAGGAGGAGGTAAGGAAGGAGGAGGAGGTGAAGGAGGAGGAGGAGGTGAAGGAAGAGGAGGAGGAGGGGGTGTAGGAGGAGGTAAGGAAGGAGGAGGAGGTGAAGGAGGAGGAGGTGGAGGTGTTTATTTCATCTGTTTTCGGGTCAAACCCGGTTCTTCGCCGTCGTAGCTTTAACGCTGACATCACTTCCTGAAAATCACTTCCTGTCCCGCAGACCAAACGTCAGTCTGGTTTCCTGACGATGAGACGACAGTCGAACCCGAAACTGAAACCAGAACCGAAACCAAACCAGCAGCTGGACCGTCTCAGTTCTCCAGGACCCAGAAACCTCCGAGACACGTGTTCCTGTCCAAAACGGTAAGATCAATAAAAACGAAGATTGACGATAAATCGACTCGTAAAGAACCAGAACAGTTCGGATTCTACGGAGGACCGGTCCAACTGGGCCAGCTGGTCCAGAATGACGAGGTTCTGGTTTTGGTTAAAGTCCGGCTCTGTGGAGACCAGAACTGATCAATACAGACACGAGTCCGGGTAATCAATAACTTTAAAAACATATTTCTATTGATCAGAGGACGGAGCGGAAACATTATTGATGATCAGATTCATTATTGATCGATTCATTATTGATCAGATTTATTATTGATCAGATTCATTATTGATCAGATTTATTATTGATCAGATTCATTATTGATCAGATTTATTATTGATGATCAGATTTATTATTGATCAGATTCATTATTGATGATCAGATTCATTATTGATCAGATTTATTATTGATGATCAGATTCATTATTGATCGATTCATTATTATTGATCAGATTTATTATTGATCAGATTTATTATTGATGATCAGATTCATTATTGATCAGATTTATTATTGATGATCTGATTTATTATTGATCAGATTTATTATTGATGATCAGATTCATTATTGATTATTGGGCTGCTACAGTAGTCACGTTTTCACACTCAGAGCTGATTCACAGATTTTCAGTTTTCGTCCGATTTTCTCGTATTTGGAGGTTTTTACAAACGAACCCGAACAGGACCGTCATTTTCAGGACCGTCATTTTCAGGACCGTCATTTTCAGGACCGTCATTTTCAGGACCGTCATTTTCGGGTCGAGGTTCTGGTCCTGAGGAACCGTGGCTCTGACTCCTGTCACAGTTGTTTCTGAACTTCATTGAAGGTTCTCAGAAGTTTCTCTCTTCAGGTAATCCGACCTGAGACCTGCTCGCCGTGTGGGAAGAGGATTCGCTTTGGGAAGGTGGCGGTGAAGTGCAGAAACTGCCGCGCCGTCGCTCATCCTGAGTGTAAACACCGATTTCTTCCCGGCTGTTTGGCGGCTGCTTCTTCAGGAGGTTCAACTCAACAGGTAACAGAAAACTGAATTTAATCATCATCATAAAACTTCAGTCCCACAGGATGAAACAGGAAATCTTTATTGATCAGAAACTGATCAATTTAATCAATAATTCACGAGTTAAAAAAAAGATTTCTGTGATCTAGTTTTAAAAAAATTACAGACACATAAAGTCAGGGACACAGATCAAGAAGAGCGTCTTCTTCAGAGTTTAGAGATACAACCAAAATCGCTCCAGAGCGCCCCCTAGAATTTTTCAAATAAAATTCTTACAGGCTGATGTGATAAACAAAGGGTGGCAGTGAGGCGCTGAGCGGGCGCTGAGCGGGCGCTGAGCGGGCCCCTCGGGGGGGTCACAAGTTATAACCGGTTTTTGTTTTTGTTGTTTTTATTTTTATTTTTGTTGTCGTCGTCATTGTTGTTGTTGTCGTCGTCATTGTTGTTTTTGTTGTTGTTGTCTTCTTTGTTGTTGTTGTTTTTGTTGTTGTTATGGTCGTCATTGTTGTTTTTGTTGTTGTTGTTGTTGTTGTTGTTGTTGTTGTTGTTGTCGTTGTTGTTTTTGTCGTTGTTGTTGTTTTTGTCGTTGTTGTTATGGTCGTCATTGTTGTTTTTGTTGTCGTTGTTGTTGTTGTTGTCGTCGTTGTTGTTGTTGTTGTTGTTGTTGTTGTCGTTGTTGTTTTTGTCGTTGTTGTTTTTGTTGTCGTTGTTGTCGTCGTCATTGTTGTTTTTGTTGTCGTTGTTGTTGTTGTTGTTGTTGTTGTTTTTGTTGTTGTTGTTGTTGTTGTTGTTGTCGTTGTTGTTGTTGTTTTTGTCGTTGTTGTTGTTTTTGTCGTTGTTGTTTTTGTTGTTGTTGTTTTTGTCGTTGTTGTTGTTTTTGTCGTTGTTGTTTTTGTCGTTGTTGTTGTTGTTTTTGTCGTTGTTGTTTTTGTTGTTGTTTTTGTCGTTGTTGTTGTTTTTGTCGTTGTTGTTATGGTCATCATTGTTGTTGTTGTCGTTGATCACTGTCATGTTGCGTCTCTCTCTGAACGACGGTAAACTCAGATGATCGTTTTTTTATGAAGAACCTCAAACTGTCGTCCTTCTTCAGAACCTGTTGGAGGATTTCGCTCCGGTCAATCATCCCCGAGTTCCTCAGCTGGTGGTCGAGTGTGTGGCGGAGATCGAGAGGAGGGGCTTAGAGGAGGTGAGTTTGTTTTAAATCGAATAATCTCATAGAGGCGGGATTATAATCCGTTCTAATTTCATTCCAGTTTTTGATTAAAGGTTGTTGAGGTTAAACAACAAAACAAAGTTTTGTTTCCTGCCGAGTAAAATAGAAATAAACGGAGAGAGATGATGGATCTATTGATTTAACAGAGTGGGAGGAGTTTATCATAGTGGGAGGAGTTTATTATAGTGGGAGGGGTTTATTATAGTGGGGTTAGTTTTTAAAGACTGCTCTGGTTCAGCTGTAGTTTGATTATCCACCTGGTTTAATGTCTCCCTCATTATTAACTGACTAATCAACCTTCAGGTAATTAAAACTTTAAAAAAGTTCACGGGCAGAATAAAAAAATCGAGTCTGATTGATTTATTCATAAAAGTCCAGATAAAATCGATTTAACTCGATGATATTTTGTCTCTCAGTTTCTCGTTGATAAAGAATATTATTGTTGACATTATTCGGAGACCGAAACGTCGATTTCTCAGCCGTATTGAAGAGCAGCATTTCTCTGCGCCGTTCGGTTTGTGTTTACGTTGTCGACCAAACGCCTCAGTAAGTGCCCCCCCGCTGAGTTAGTCCTGTTTTAGGAGAGTTTGTTTGGTTGTTGTGTTGCCCTGTTTTTGTTGTTATCACTTTTGAACTGTTTTGTCTCTCTGGTTCGTCCGTCTCGTTGGACTCTCTTTGCTGATATAAAAATATTTCCTGAAACCAAAAACATCGTAGACTCAATCGTACAGAGAAGACCACGTTAAATGACTCCCTCCTTCAGGTCATCCGACATGTCTCTCTTTAGTGTGATTGTTGATGTTTCTCCTCCGTGTTCCTCTCTTTGGTGTGATTGTTGATGTTTCTCCTCCGTGTTCCTCTCTCTGGTTCTGCTCATGTTCTGCAGAGAGGTCTCTATAGAGTTCCTGGAGGTGAACGTCTGGTGAAGGAGCTCAGAGACCGGTTCCTTCAGGGGAAAGCTCCTCTCCTGCTCAGTAAAGTCTCGGATGTTCACGTCCTCTGTGGTCTTCTGAAGGACTTCCTGAGGAGACTGAAGGAACCTCTGATCACCTTCAGACTGCACAGAACCTTCATGGAGGCCTCAGGTCTGAAGAGGACTCAAGTCTTCTCTGATGTTTGACCCCGGACGATCTGTGAAGGTTCTGAAGGTTCTCTTTGGTTTCAGAGCTGAATGATGAAGATAACAGCACCGCCGTCATGTACCGGGCCATCGCAGAACTTCCCAAGGCCAACAGAGACACTCTGGCCTTCCTGATGCTTCACCTTTACAAGTAAGACCCGAAACCCGGTTCTGAAGGACCCAGATGATCAGCTTAATCTAAACCTACAGTTCAGTCATCTTCAAGACCCGGTCAAAGTCCTGAGCAGGTTCTGGTTCTGACTTTTCTTCAGGGTCTTTGTGATCCCTCTGTTCTTCTGTTATTAATGGTTTTGTGGTCCAGGGTGGTCAGGAGTCCTCAGTGTCAGATGGATCAGAATAATCTAGCCCGGGTTTTTGGTCCGACCATCGTAGGACACGGGATGTCTGAACCGTCGCCGACCACCATCATGAGGGACACCAACACTCAACCCAAGGTCTCCGATTCCCGAGCTTCAGATTTAGAATAATAATTATAATAATAATAATAATAATAATAATAATAATAATAATGATAATAATAATAATAATTATTATTATTATTAAACTATAATAATAATTAAACTATTATGATGATGATGATTATTGTTATTGTTATTAATTTTATTATTATTATTATTATTATTATTATTAATAATAGTAATAATAATAATAATAATAATAATAATTATTATTATTATTATTATCTTCAGATTATTTATGAGGTGGAAGGAAACGATGAGACTAGATCCAAGTGAACAAAGAGGGTCAGGTTTTAGTTTAGTCCTGGTCTGAGGAGGGTCAGGTTTTAGTTTAGTCCTGGTCTGAGGAGGGTCAGGTTTTAGTTTAGTCCTGGGTGGTTGGTCTTTGGTCTCAGTCCTCATTAGTCTCTGATATTCGTTATTTTTCAGGTCGTTTGTCGTTTGTTGTCCCTTCCTGAATCTTACTGGAAGCGGATCCTCTCGGTCCACTCAGACCAGACTCAGGGTCAGGATCTGGGTCCAGGTGAGTTCAGATCCAGGAGGTTTTTTTTTTCAGTAGATCTGATCAGACGGTCAATTAAAACGTTGTTTAAATGATTTTTATATTTTTAACACATCATCATTTTAGATTTTTCATTAATACTCGTATATTAAGAATCCGATTAAAAATCCGATTAAAAATCCGATTAAAAATCCGATTAAATCCGTTTCTTTAGTTTCTTTAGTTCCAGTCGTTTGTTCTCAGTCGACTCACAGTAAAAAAAATGTTTATATTAATAATTTAACTTTAAACTTTATTTACTAATGTTTTTATCGGGCTTACAGGTCGGCTGTTCAAACCTTTGACGTCTCCGGAGTTAAACAGTCACTATAAAACGTCCAGTTATGGATCTTTGAGAGGACGGATCAGGAACCCAGACGATGTTCCTGCCAGTCGGTAAGAGCCGCTTCACCTCCAGTCACCATGAAATAAACTTTTATTAAATAAACTTTTATTTTTATCAGTCACCATGAAATAAACTTTTCTTAAACCAACTTGGTGAGGAAATCTGCAGAGTTACAGAGAAAACAATGAAGAATAAAAACGATCATCATGAAGATTTTAAAAGTTCATTTAGACCGAAACAAAAATATGAAAAATAAAAAAAAGACAAAAATGTTAAAAAACAAGAAACTAAAACGACTTAAAACAAAAAAAAAGTTATTTTAGCAAATTATTGGAGTTATTTATTTTATTTATTACATTGATTATTATTGGAGTTATTATTTATTTTATTTATTACATTGATTATTATTGGAGTTATTATTTATTTTATTTATTACATTGATTATTATTGGAGTTATTATAATATAAATATAAATATAAATGACCTACAGTCGCCTCAGACCAGCAGCTAAGACCCAACAGACCAGGTCGGGGTCAGAGGTCAGAGGTCAGTCCAATATCTGAACTTTAATAAATCTGATCAAGTTCCTGTTTTTACTCTTGGTTCAGCCCCTTTGCATGATGGGTAACTGAGTCTGGGGACTGAGAGTTCGAGTCGAAGTTTTAACTCAATTTTTATTTTATTTATTTCAGTCGAATCGAAACCGGGAGAAGATTCTTCACGTCACCGAGCTGAGCCGGAGGAAACACCCTACAGTACACACTGTAGGACTACACACACTGTAGGACTACACACAGTACACACTGTAGGACTACACACACTGTAGGACTACACACACTGTAGGACTACACACAGTACACACTGTAGGACTACACACAGTACACACTGTAGGACTACACACACTGTAGGACTACACACAGTACACACTGTAGGACTACCCCCCCCCCCCCCCCCCCAAATCCAAATCCAAATCCGGCTCCCTCGAGGTGTTTCAGGGTTCAGGGGTAAAACCAGCTCTGTTTGGACCTGGTTCAGGGTTTTGGGGTTAAACTGGTCCCACTTTGGTGTTTTCGGGTTAAAAATCTCAAATGTAAAAATAAAATAAATCTTGTTTGTTTGAAATTTTTCATTTTGTTTTTTTTGTTTAAATGATTTTTATTCCTCAGAGGAAAAACTGAAGAGAATTAAAAAGTTTATATCAATAAATAAATTAAATCTGTTCAAAATCTGTTCTGAATAATCAAAATATTATTTTGATAATTATTATTGGTATTATATGTATATATATATATATATATATATACATATGTGTGTAATATTTAGTCACTTTATTTAGTCACTTTACGAGAAATTGTTTTGAACTGATCAATAACTTTAATTAGTTTATATTGTTTTTTATTGATCAGTCTATCACAGACACACACACACAGCTGTCATTTTTTTTCTGTGATATTTTATTTACACCCAAAACTTTCAGAAATCAATATTTGATTTAATGATCACTAATGATTTAAATATGAAAATACATCAATATCCTCATATTTAAGATTAATTTGAATTTATTCACTTTGAGTTTTGATCGATCAGAAGAGACTTGGTTTCGTTCTGCCACTCCAACACGCCGTCCAGCGGACGACATCCGTCCTGAGGAAGAAGAGAAGAAGTTCGGTAAATACCGACAAAAAACCTGAAAACTTTGAATAAATTAGAATTAAAATCCCAGAAACTAAAGAAACTTGGAAAGAAAAATAAATTAAAAAAAAAAAACAGAGAAAATGACTTTAAATACGGAGGATAAAAAAAACTGTAAAATAAATCAGAGAATTCAGAGACAAATAAAATAAAAAACCTGCTGAAGACAAACATCGGAAAAAAACGTCTTTTAAAAAAAGTTTTTTATTTTAAATCCGTAAAATCTTTAGAAAGTCGGTCAGGTTCAGGATCCTCATCCTGGGTCCTCTGTAGACCTTAGTGGACCCAATAGACCAGGTCCTGGAGTCTGATTGAGGACTTCAGCTTCAGTTCAGGGTCTCCTTGGTCCTGGTTTTGGGGTCTTGATGGTCCAGATGTTTTAAGTCAGGACCAGTCCAGTATCTTCTACAGAACCATGCTGGTGTCAGAATCTGGTTCTGGATTTATCTGAAGAAGTCCTGGTCTGGATGGACCAAGATGTTGGTCCTAAACCTGGAGATCCAGTTCAGACTTTACAGATGAGGAAGATACCAGGACCTGGACTCTGATGATCCCCAGACCATCAGGGATTCTAGATTTGGACCAGGAGACAAGAACAGGTCTGGTGGATCCTCTAGTCTTTAGAGAGGAGGATTTCAGGGTCCAGGATTTCAGGGTCCAGGATTTCCAAAAAGACGCTCAGATTTAGATTTTTATCGTCACTCATTTTTATTGATTTATTGATTTATTTCTGTTTTTATTGATTCTGCGTTTGTTTGTTTAGAGACGAGTGTGAAGAAAGTGAACCAGAACCACAGAGTCCAGAACTATAAAGTAAACCAGAACCAGGGTCCAGAACTATAAAGTAAACCAGAACCACAGAGTCCAGAACTATAAAGTAAACCAGAACCACAGAGTCCAGAACTATAAAGTAAACCAGAACCACAGGGTCCAGAACTATGAAATGAACCAGAACCACAGGGTCCAGAACTATAAAGTAAACCAGAACCACAGGGTCCAGAACTATAAAGTAAACCAGAACCACAGGGTCCAGAACTATGAAATGAACCAGAACCACAGGGTCCAGAACTATAAAGTAAACCAGAACCACAGGGTCCAGAACTATGAAATGAACCAGAACCACAGAGTCCAGAACTATGAAATGAACCAGAACTGTTTTTTTACCTGGTTTATGAGGTCCGTATCGGCTCCGTGTTTCAACAACAATTTAATAATTTTACAACGATTCAGACGGACGGCGTCGTGGAGAGGAGAGTCACCTTCCTGAAACACACACACACACACACACACACACACACACACACACACACACACACACACACACACGTCATCTGTCACATATTTAAAATAGTCCTGATAATCTCGCAGCGTTTGTGTGTGTGTGTGTGTGTGTGTGTGTTTGTTAGAGAGAGAAGGGGAGTGTTTAGTGTAATAACTAACAGAAATATACACAGTTATGATATTATATAAACATGTGTATATATATATATATATATATATATTAGGGCTGTCAATTGATTAAAATATTTAATTGCGATTAATCGAATTGTGATCATAATTAATCATGATTAATCGCAAATTGATCGCGGGGGGGCGCGGGGCTCTCTGCATCAGCTGTGTACTTGGCGGACAAGTGATATTTGAGACTAGACGTACTCCGGTGACTAAATTCAGCTCGACAGGAAACACAAATGACATTTGTCCTGTCAGAGAGCCATCTGGAAAGGGTTTGTAGCTGAACTCTCCGTTCAAAATCGTTTTCTTATCCATTATATCCTAGTTACTGCTCACGGGGATTTGTTTATGTCTGCTGCGGTATCAGTCAGTGCTCTACTTCCTGATTCGCGAAACTACGGAGTGCCCCGAGGCTCACATAGCCTGGACACCTCACCAACTGTTCCTCTACCCTTTTACAACGGCAAGAATATCCACGCAGTGTGTGTAGTTTGGTCAAGCCAGACTAAGGTTTGCGTTAATCGTGCGTCAAAAAAATTAGTGGCGATAAAAGTCACTTGAGTTAACGCGACAATAACGCGTTAACTTTGACAGCCTTAATATATATATATATATGTATATATACATATATATGTATATATGTATATATACATATATATGTATATATACATATATATGTATATATGTATATATGCATATATATGTAAATAGACATATATATCTGTATGTTTATATTATAATTATGGAGTGACTCACTTTGTCTTGTGTGTTGATTTCGGCTCCACAGTGAATTAAATATTCAACACAGTCATAATGGCCGGTCCTCACAGAGACATGAAGAGGAGTGCTGTCCAGCTACACACACACACACACACACACACACACACAGACACACACACACACACACACACACACACACACACACACACACATTAAATTCTGTGGTCAAAGTTTTTAAAACAGTCAAAAGTTACTCAAACTGGATCAAACTGGTTAAATGTGGTCAGGACCAGACTGGAGGACTGGAGGACCAAACTGGGGCGCAGACTTTAATAAGGCCGGACCAGAAGATCCGACCCCAAACCGAGGACCAGAGTTTAATCTTGTGGGCTGGATTAATGATGTATTAACAAGCGGGTCACAGATGGTCCAAAAGAACCACATCAGACCTTTCCTGGTCCTCTACCACAGAACTGCGTTCGCTCACCTCTGTTGTGTATTTGTACACAAACGTAGTAAAGTGATTTATTGTGAAGTTTTTTGATGACTGTGGTGTTGTCAGTTTGTGTGAGTCCAGCCGAGACCTGGATCTGGATCAGTTTTCACCTGGTCTCAGAACTTCATATTTCTAGGACCAAAGAAACCATCAAGTCCCTGAACCAGGATCCACCAACAGTTTTTACGTCCCGATTAAACTGGAAGACGTTAAAAACGACGTTTCATTGAGTCTGTTTGTGGTTTCTGTGAAGGTCCTGGTCTTAGTCCTGGTCTTAGTCCTGGTCTTAGTACTAAAATCAGGTACTTTGATTTCTGTAGATGCAGTTTTTGAAGTAGTGGTAGTATAAGTCGTGTTTTTTCTGTAGTACTATCCTGTCTTTGCAGTAATAGTACATACAGTGGTTATATTAGTACGTCATACAGGAGAACCTTGTCAGTGATACCAGTTGTTGTGGTTATACTCTCAGTAGTATTAGTAGTATTAGTAGTATTAGTATTAGTAGTGGTAGTATTTTGTGTACTCTCACCTTGTCTCTGTCGTCGATTTTTGCTCCGTGATTCAGCAGAAGTTTCAGTGAACTCAGATTTCCTCCTCGACACGCCGAGTGAAGACACGTCGACTGGAGCTGCAAGAACCAGTAAGAACCGGTTTAAACTGGTTTTAAAACTGGATATAAACTGGTCTGTAACTGGATATAATGTCACTCCTGTTTTTTTAAACTGGGTCATGATCGGACCCTCAGGGGTTAAAACCTGTCCAATAAAAATAAAGACAAAATAAATAAATACAGAAAATTTAAAACAGGTTTCAGATTTTCTTGGAGCTTTTTACTGGATAAAAATAAGGTTTTAAAAATTCAGTACCTCTGTGTCCCTCAGCTGATTGACCTCGTCTTGTGTGTGTATAATGTTTATTTTTAAATACATATTTATATAGTAGGGATATATACTGTAGGGAGAGCGAAAGAGATGGAGATAGACAGATGATAAATTCTGACTCACCTTGTCTCTCAGATGAACGTTTGTTCCCGCTTCTAAAAGTTTGACGATGACCTCTGTGTGACCTTTAGAGGACGCTCTGTGCAGACCTGAGTGCTCAAACTACACACACACACACACACACACACACACACACACACACACACACACACTGAGTTTTAAATCTGCCATATTCAGTCGTCCATTCATGAACATATTAATCCATTACTCCATGTTTTGTTTCAGCCAATAGGATCAGAGATTGACGTCTCACCGAGTCGCGGGCGTTGACGTCTCCACCTGTGGACAGGTACCTGTCAATCACCTGCAGCTGATTCTGATCGCAGGCTTTGAAAAAATCGTCTTCGTCGACAAAATACGGCTAAAAAAAAAAAAAAAAGATCGACTTTTTAAAATATTTTATTTGTTTGTTAAAAAAACAGAAATTATATTAATATTAATGTTTAAAATCATTTTATTTATCAGACAAAAATTAAAATATATTTATATTAATGTTTCGCTGTGATCTTCAGTTTTGATTTAATGCAGTTTAGTTAAATTATAAGTAAAACAATTTAAAATTTTGTTACAGTAAATGTTGATTCTGACGATTCTAACGTCACTGTGAATAAATTCATCTTTTTATTTCATTAAATTTAAATAAATAAACTGAAATGTTCAAATCAGACATTATTCAATTCATTTTTCACTCTTTCCGACACGGACAGTAACTGACGAAGTCTTACCACCATCTGAACAGCAGGGGGAGCTGCAGCCTTCCTCACAGCAGCTTTTCGCTCTTTCTGCGTTTTTCTGAGAAGAAGAAGATTCTGGAGATCGTCGGGCGTCTCGAGGAGAAGACGACCCGATTTATCCCTCTGCGAAAATACAGTCGAATAAATGAGAATAAAGAGAAACGTAAAAAGATTTTAAAAAGTGTTTGAATTTTAAATGAGAATTAATTATCTTAAAAAACCTAAAAATACATTTATAAAAATAATTTAAGAAAATTGATTTGAAATAAATCTGTCTTTAAAGAATAAACTAAAACTGCTTAAATGGTTCATAAAATAATAAAATGATAAAAAAATATAATTTATGTTAAATGGAAAAATTAATTAATCAGTAAATCAATTAATGAATTAACCCTGTTAAATAAGAAAAAATAATTTATGTTTTTAAAACTAAAGGATATTTAAACACTGGGATCAGACTAACTCCTGGATCAGACTAACTCCTGGATCAGACTAATAGCTGCAGCACTTTTTCAATCAGCCAATCACAGACGGTCGCTATTTTTGACCTTGATGCTGATTGGAGGATCCGAGTCTTTTTTCTCCTGAGACACAGACGACTCGTAGTCCTCCCCCTGCTGGACAAACAGATTCGAACAGTTCATCACGAAACTTCGGAAAAGACATTTAACCCAACAAATAAAGAAATGAATAAACAAACAAACAAATAAATAAATAAATAAATAAATAAAGAGTTCATCAAAGGATTCAGACTTTGATCATAAAATCAGGATTGATGATTTGATCCATTTTTTCTGTTTTTGTATGTTATTCTGTGACGGTCCCTTAGAGTCCCTTAGAGTCCCTCAGAGTCCCTCAGAGTCCCTCAGAGTCCCTCTTTGCTGGACGATCTTGTTTGTGACTTTGAACCATAAAACTTTATTTAAAGTCGTCCAGCTGACACCGAGTCTCATAACCCGACCAGAAATAACAATAATGAGGACCTGACCTTTGACCCCTCTGCTATAAAACTTTAAAGCAGCTGCAGACGCCTCAGTGTGTGTGTGTGTGTGTGTGTGTGCACGTCTCAGTGTGTCTGTGTGTGTGTGCGTGTGCGTGTGTGTGTGCATGTCTGTGTGTGTGCAGGTCTGTGTGTTTGTGTGTGTGTGTGCGCAGACTCGACCTTCTCTGGTGACGGTTTATTGGCCAATAACTTCAGCAGTGGGCGGGGTCAAAGGTCAGAGGGTCATGTGATCTCAGAGTGGCAGGATTGAAATTTGGACAGAAATCTGATTTTCATTAAAATCGTTTAAGGAGAAAATAAAGAATAAAAAAAAAAGAATAAAAACTCTGAAACAGACGATTGATCCTTAAACCTGTTCAAGTCAAAATCTGTAATAATCATAAATATTGATCTAATTGATCCTTTCAGGAAAATTAATGAAGAAAAAGTCGTTTATTCAGTTTTTTTTAAACATTTTTTAAAGATTTCAAGTAAAAAGAAAAAAAAAAAAACTTTCACCATCTTCATCCCTCCGTCCTCTTCATCCTCGTCATCGTCCCAGCTGATCGACCTGAAAACAAAAATCCACAAAAGTTTTTTTTTAATTTTAATTAAAAACTTTAAACTTTAGAATAAAATCTGTTCTCTCACTAAAATCTTTTCTGCCTTTAATTGTTTTTATAACAAATTAATAAATGATTTATTTTTATTTATTATAAATTATTGTATAATTATTAGTATTTCTGTTAAGGAACAATTTTTTTGACTCAGAAAAAAAAATCCTTTGTTGGTCAGAAGTTTTTTTATTTCTCATGTTTATATTTAAATATATAAATATATGTATTTAAAATAAGCCGAGTTTAAACCTGCTGCTCAGTCTTTAAAGTGATTTTATTGACAAATAAAAATCAAGTTAATTAAAGTCAGTTAAGTCAGTTAGTTAAAGTCAGTTAATCTGCAGAGATGATCGTAATTATGAAATAACTCGTTATTATAAATTAATTTGGTAAATTTAACTTTTAGTTAAAATAATTTAATGTCACTTAAGATTTTTCATAATTTAATCAATAATGAAAATGAATGATTGGTAATATTGGAATTATTGATAAACATGAGATTCAATCAATCTTTATTTATATGGTGATAATTAACAACAGAAGCTAAACACAAAAACGCTGATCATGACTTTTTATAACTATTGATTATTATGAAATTATGAGATGATAATTGATCATGATTTTGAAGATACTAATTATATTTTTAATTTAATTCAATTTTAGATTTTTAACCGTTTTCACTAAAAGTCACTTTTATCCTGTTTTCAATTTCACAAACTAGAATCAGAATTTTTTTGTTTAAAGTTTAAATTTATTCAATAAAATCTGAAACTTTTTTATTTTTATGCTTTAATTTAAAAGTTTTAATTTAGATGTTTCCAAACGTTCCTTCAGCCTAAACCCGAACCCGAACCCTTATCCTCACTCGAACCTTAAACCCGAACCCTTATCCTCACTCGAACCCGAACCTTAAACCCGAACCCTTATCCTCACTCGAACCCGAATCTTAAACCCAAACCCTTATCCTCACTCAAACCCGAACCCTAAACCAGAACCCTTATCCTCACTCGAACCCGAACCCTAAACCAGAACCCTTATCCTCACTCGAACCCGAACCCTGATCTGAACCCTTCAAGAAAAACCAGAAACACAGAAAAACTGAAAGTTTCTCTCTGGTGAAGAAAACCTTCGTCAGCCTAATGTGAGTAAAATTAAACTGAAATATTAAAGAGCAGCTGGAACAGAGAAAAGTCCAACTCTCATATTATTGATCAATAATCAAATAATCAATCATGAATCAATAACCAATAAATGTGAAATCAGCTCACCTCTGCAGCTCCATGTTCAGTTTGAAGGTCTGCGTCGTTGAAGTGATCAGGAGCTTCATCCATCCTCCTAATATAGACACACACACACACACACACACACACACAGGTCTACGCTTTGACCTTTGACCCTGCAGGTTGAACTTGCAGGAGCCGGCTGTTGACCCCGTCTGACCTCTCAGTAACCAAAGAAGAAGAAGAAGAAGACCTCCAGTTTTATTGCTGCAGTAATCAGATTTCAGACGAAGCTCCTCGCTGCGTTTTAAAAACATTTTCAGAGTCGATTCATCAGAAACTCAGAGAGCGGTCGACTAAAGTAAACGGCATTTTTGACACAAACTCGTTTGTTTTCAAAGATTTTCACTGAGAGAAAAAGAAATCGTGTTTTTAATATGAACTGAAGAGAAAGTTTCTCTGACAGAGTCTGAGTACGAGCGCTCACCTCCAGAGTCAGTGTGGACTTAATCTAAAGTCTCCTCGAACCTTCATTTACGGCACAAACGAGAACGATATTATAACAAACCAAACGTCAGCTGAATGTTTTTTTTTTTTTACAGATTTCCTGATTTATTGTTTTTTTTCTGGCTGTTAAAGTTTTTTATCAAAAATGTCCAAATTAGAAATTAGAATATTTAACCGTGTTCAACTCTCCAAAAAACTTCCTTTATTATATTTATTATAATAATCAGAATGTTTTAGTTGTAACGACTCCTCTCTGTCACACACACACACACACACTCACACACACACACACACACACACACATACACACACACACACACACACACAGACTTACAGTAGCTGATGTTTAATCAGGACTCGCTGCTGTGACTGAGGAGAGTTTTATGAAAAGTCAAAGTATGAAAACAGAAACATTAAATAAGTTCATCACAGCGCGTCCGTCACGGCGAACAGGTGAACAGGTGAACAGGTAAAGACGGTTTGTCTACGACGCTCACATCCAGACATCTGAAGCCTGGAGAAAAACAAGTATCCGGTGTGTCGTGGTTGTAAAAATGTCAAATGCAGAAGGAGGAAGTCTTGGTCGGAGATGCTTCAGCGGAGTAACTGATATCCGAGTGGTCGACCGTGGCGAGACGTTTGTAAACGCATCACCATATGGTGTCACATGATGTTTGTTTACATGAGCCCACCTGAGGGAGGATCTTTAAACAGCTGAGGAGCAGGTGACCGAACTTTAGTCACACACTTCAAAAAGGAAAATCAGTGAAGTTTGAGTCACACGGTTATTGTGGCACAACAGCTGTAACCATGACAACCATAACCACGACAGCCATGACCACCACAGCTGTGACCGCTCAGGTAAAAGTGAGCATGTTTTTCTTCGATATTTTGAGTTCACGGTGAACGGCAAGTGTGTCGGGACAAAGGCGAGGATCGAGGAGACCTGCTCACAGAATCTCCTGGGAAGTTTTGAAGATTCTGTGAGTTTCTGTCGGGTACTCTGGTTTCCTCCCTCATCCCAAAAACAAACAGAAGTAGGGTTGGGCTAAATTTGTCATTTCCAAATTGCAAAAAGGTGATCCTATAGTGTGATATTTTTATGAAATGATACTGTGACAATTTTTCATCATACTTTCTTTTCAGACTAATATATGACATTTTTAACATCCTGCACGATGGCATTTTTGATCAGACAATACTGTGGCAGGTTTTTCCATCCAAAAATGTGAAATTTGTTTTTACTCAAAAATGTAACATTTTGTTCATAGTATACTATGATGATGTTTTTTTTCGGACTAAAATATGATTTTTTTTTCCTTCTGAAATATGACATTTTTAACATCCTATACTACGGCATTTTAATCAGACTATACTTTGGCATGTTTTTTCATTCTTAAATAAGAATATTTTTTTACCCTAAAATATGACGTTTTCATCATAGTATACTATGTGATTTTTTTTCCAGTAAACATATGACATTTTTAACATCCTTTACCATCACATTTTGATCAGACAGTACTATGGCATATTTTTCCATCATAAAAACGGAATTTTGTTTTCACTCCGAAATCAGAAACTTTGATCATAGTATACTATGACGTTTTTTTTGTTTGACTAAAATATGAATTTTTTTTACAGCTAATATATGATATTTTCAACATCCTGTACTACGGCATTATGATCAGACTATACTATGGCATGTTTTTTCATCTTAAAATCTGAACAAATTTTGACCCTAAAATCTGAAATTTTGGTCATAGTATACTATGACGTTTTATTTTTTTTCGGGCCAAAATATGAACTTTTTTTGCCCATTTATGATATGAGACTTTTAACATCCTGAACTATGGCACTTTAATCAGACAATATTATGGCATGTTTTTTCATTGTAAAATCTAAATTTTTTTACCCTAAAAACAGAAAATTTCCTCATAGTGTATGATGTCGTTTTTTATTGGAGTAAAATGGGATTTTTTTTTCCAGGCTAAAATATGACACTTTTATGATCCTATACTTTGGCATTTTGATCAGACAGTACTATGCTTAAATCAGAAATTTTTTTTCAACCTAAAATATGAAATTTAGGTCACAGTATACTATGACTTTTATTTATTTTATCTTTTTTTTTTCCCCCTCCGCTTAAATTTGACATTTTTAACATTCTATGCTAATGCATTTTGATCAGACTATACTATGGCAGATTTTTTCATACAAAAAAATGGAATTTAGTTTTTACTGTAAAATCTGAAATTTTGGTCATGTATACTATTTTTTTTTTTTTCTGACAAAAATATGAATTTTTCTTTCCCGCTAAAATATGTCATTTTCAACATCCTATACTATGACATTTTGATCAGACTATACTGTGGCATGTTTATACATCCTAACAAAGGAAATTTGTTTTCAATCCGAAATCTGAAATTTTGGTCATAGTATACTATGACGTTTTTTTTTTCAGACTAAAATATGAATTTTTTTTCAGGGTAAAATATGACATTTTTAAGGACCTATAACAGGCATTTTGATGAAATCCCACTATGGGATGTTTTTTCATCCTTAAAATGGAATTTTGTTTTCACTCCAAAATCTGACATTTTGGTCATAGTATACTATGACGTTTTTTCCCCCCTGCTAAAATATGAAAAAAAGAATTCTGGCTACAATATGACATTTTTAAGATATGAAAAAGATTTAAGATACATCCTTAAAAAGAAATTTTGTTTTCACCCTAAAATCCGAAATTGTGGTCATGTATACTATGTGGTTTTTTTCGGGCCAAAATATAAAATGTCTTTTTTACAGCCAAAATATGACATATTTAAAATCCTGTACTGTTGCATTTTGATCAGACAATACAATGGCATTTTTTTCATCCTGAAAACAGATTTTTTTTCATCGTAAAATGTAAAATTATGGTCTTAGTATACTATTTTGATTTTTTTCGGAGTGAAATAAGAATTTTTAAACTGTAACCTTAACCCTAACCTTAAACCTAATCCTAACCCAAACGCTAACTGTAAACCTAACCCCTTACCCCTTACCCTAACCCCAAACCATAACCCCAAACCCGCAACTGTAACCCGAACCCGAAACCTAAACCCTAGCCAAACCCTAACCCTGAAGCCCTAACCGTAACACTAACCCTAGCACGAACCCCTAACCCTAGCCCTAACCCTAACCCCCTAACCCTAACCCTAAACCCTAACCCTAACCCCTAACCCTGGAACTAACCCCTAACCCTAACCCCAAACCCTAACCCTAACCCTAGCACTAACCCCTAACCCTAACCCCAGCCCTAACCCGAAACCCTAAACCCTAACCCTAACCCAAAACCCTAACCCTAGCCCTAACCCTAACCCTAGCACTAACCCCTAACCCTAACCCCAGCCCTACCCGAAACCATAAACCCTAACCCTAACCCTAGCCCTAACCCTAACCCTAGCCCTAAAACCAAACCCTAAACCCTAACCCTAGCCCTAACGCTAACCCTAATTATTAGTCACTAAACTCATTAACCCTTCAACATCCCTTCAAGGGTTAATGAGTTTAGTGTTAGGGGTTAGGGTTAGGGGGTTAGGGTTAGGGGTTAGGGTTAGGGTTAGGGTTAGGGTTAGGGTTAGGGTTAGGGGTTAGGGTTAGGGTTAGGGTTAGGGTTAGGGTTAGGGTTAGGGTTAGGGGTTAGGGTTAGGGGTTAGGGTTAGGGGGTTAGGGTTAGGGTTAGGGTTAGGGGTTAGGGTTAGGGTTAGGGTTAGGGGTTAGGGTTAGGGTTAGGGTTAGGGTTAGGGTTAGGGTTAGGGTTAGGGTTAGGGGTTAGGGTTAGGGTTAGGGGTTAGGGTTAGGGTTAGGGTTAGGGTTAGGGTTAGGGTTAGGGTTAGGGTTAGGGGTTAGGGTTAGGGTTAGGGTTAGGGTTAGGGGGTTAGGGGGTTAGGGTTAGGGTTAGGGTTAGGATATAGGGATATGTGCCACTTTTGACATGGCGGTTCATTGCCTTTCCCATCGATGAACCGGGCTGAGATTTGGTCTACCCCCCCATTTTCGGGTATGCTGAATCTAGAAATAGTAATGAACCAGCGATCGGACATTCCTATCAAAAGTTATGGCGAAGTGAAAATTTCCCATTGAAAATGAATGGGAGCGGAAAAAGGCCAAAGTCAGTGTTTGCAAGTGTTGTACTTGTCTGGAACTGTTGAAAATGCATTGTGAGCACGTTTCAGGCCATTTCCTGTGATTTGAGGGCGACTTTGCAAAAAGGGGTGTCATACCGCTTTTGACCAGAGGTGGTGCTGCACATGTCCGACGGTTAGGGTTAGGGTGAGACTTTGGGCAAGGGGTTAGGGTTAGGGCTGGAGCTATGGTTAGGGTTAGTTGTGGAGCTAGGGTTAGGGTTAGGGTTGGAGCTAGGGTTAGGGTTAGGGTTGGAGCTAGGGTTAGGGTTAGGGTTAGGAAAATGTGAAGATTTTCCCAAAATCTGAAGATTTTCCTAAGTGCGGACCCAATTTTTCACCTTCCAGAATTGTGTTAGGAGCACGTTTCAGGCCACGGGGAGTCCATAGAACCTGATTGTGGGTGAAGTTTTCGGGGGTTGGAGCTTTGCGGCAGGATATAGGGATATGTGCCACTTTTGACATGGCGGTTCATTGCCTTTCCCATCGATGAACCGGGCTGAGATTTGGTCTACCCCCCCATTTTCGGGTATGCTGAATCTAGAAATAGTAATGAACCAGCGATCGGACATTCCTATCAAAAGTTATGGCGAAGTGAAAATTTCCCATTGAAAATGAATGGGAGCGGAAAAAGGCCAAAGTCAGTGTTTGCAAGTGTTGTACTTGTCTGGAACTGTTGAAAATGCATTGTGAGCACGTTTCAGGCCATTTCCTGTGATTTGAGGGCGACTTTGCAAAAAGGGGTGTCATACCGCTTTTGACCAGAGGTGGTGCTGCACATGTCCGACGGTTAGGGTTAGGGTGAGACTTTGGGCAAGGGGTTAGGGTTAGGGCTGGAGCTATGGTTAGGGTTAGTTGTGGAGCTAGGGTTAGGGTTAGGGTTGGAGCTAGGGTTAGGGTTAGGGTTAGGGTTAGGGTTAGGGGTTAGGGTTAGGGTTAGGGTTAGGGTTAGGGTTAGGGGTTAGGGTTAGGGTTAGGTGTGGGTAAGAGATACAGTGATAGCCCCCGCTTTCGTCTGTTGACTTGGCGGTTTGGGGTAGGCTAATCAAGGGCTTGCACTGGCCGTCGCATGTCGACCTGTCACATGTTCCCAGTCGAGTCTCCGAGCTCAATCTGTGTGTAAAAAACTATGTGTGGGTAGGAAGTTTAATTACTCAGCTCAGTTGGTATGCTATGCTGTCTATCTTTTAGACTATGTGTTTGTAGAGCAATTATTTTTTGAGGTTCAGTTAGGAGTTAGAGTTGGTATGGTTACCAGTTAAAACAATAATAATAATAATAATAATAATAATAATAATAATAATAATAATAATAATAGTAATGGTAATAACAATAATTATACTAATAATAATAATAATAAAAAAAGTAATAATTTTGTTTATTGAGAAGGACTAGGTGATATTAGTAGGGAGGGAAAAGGGTGAACTTTACCTAAGAGAGTAGGGTTAGGATGCGTTAGTACAAAGTCTCAGAGGATGGGGAGAGGGAAACAGGTGGTCTGGATTAAAACCATTCTGTTTCTACAGGGATTCGAGTGATAGAGAGAGAATAGAACTTGCCACAGTGACTAGCCAGAGAAACTCTCCTCACCTGTTGCTTTTCATCCTCTGATACGAACAAGGAGGGTGGGGTGATTAAGTTAAGATAGAGGTTAGTAAGGTTAGGGTTGGGGTTAGATTTAGGGTTTAGGGGTTAGGGGTTAGGGTTAGGGTTAGGGTAAGGGTAAGGGTTAGGTGTGGGTAAGAGATACAGTGATAGCCCCCGCTTTCGTCTGTTGACTTGGCGGTTTGGGGTAGGCTAATCAAGGGCTTGCACTGGCCGTCGCATGTCGACCTGTCACATGTTCCCAGTCGAGTCTCCGAGCTCAATCTGTGTGTAAAAAACTATGTGTGGGTAGGAAGTTTAATTACTCAGCTCAGTTGGTATGCTATGCTGTCTATCTTTTAGACTATGTGTTTGTAGAGCAATTATTTTTTGAGGTTCAGTTAGGAGTTAGAGTTGGTATGGTTACCAGTTAAAACAATAATAATAATAATAATAATAATAATAATAGTAATGGTAATAACAATAATTATACTAATAATAATAATAATAAAAAAAGTAATAATTTTGTTTATTGAGAAGGACTAGGTGATATTAGTAGGGAGGGAAAAGGGTGAACTTTACCTAAGAGAGTAGGGTTAGGATGCGTTAGTACAAAGTCTCAGAGGATGGGGAGAGGGAAACAGGTGGTCTGGATTAAAACCATTCTGTTTCTACAGGGATTCGAGTGATAGAGAGAGAATAGAACTTGCCACAGTGACTAGCCAGAGAAACTCTCCTCACCTGTTGCTTTTCATCCTCTGATACGAACAAGGAGGGTGGGGTGATTAAGTTAAGATAGAGGTTAGTAAGGTTAGGGTTGGGGTTAGATTTAGGGTTTAGGGGTTAGGGGTTAGGGTTAGGGTTTGGGTAAGGGTAAGGGTTAGGGTTAGGGTTAGGGTTAGGGTAAGGGTTAGGGTTAGATTTTAGGGTCTAGAGGTTAGGGTTAGGGTTAGGGTCAGGGTAAGGGTTAGATTTAGGGTTTAGGGGTTAGGGTTAGGGTTAGGGTAAGGGTTAGGGTTAGATTTAGGATTTAGAGGTTAGGGTTAGGGTAAGGGTTAGGGTTAGGGTTAGATTTAGGGTTTAGGGTTAGATTTAGGGTTAAGAGGGTTAGGGTTGGATTTAGGTTCTAGAGGTTAGGGTTAGGGTGAGGGTGATGTTTATGGTTCGTGCCTGAAGAGAGCTAACCATGGCTATTTGAAAGAATTAAAATTCAAAGAATACGACACTTCAGATTGTCTAGACTCTGGACTCTGCTAAAGGTAGCAAAGCTATGGTTAAAAGTACTGAAAATGCAGTATAAAATATATAAGGTTAGTTGCTAATTCTTATTGATGAATTTTATTTCAGAGTCAAAAGCGGATGGTCCCGTGTAGAACCTTCTGTTCCACTCAGGCCTGTGTAGGCCAAAGACCCTGCTAAGGTCTCTCAAGGCTGTGACCTAAAATTATTTTTGATTAAATTGGAAATCTAAATTATTACTTTTTAATAAATTTTAATTCAGAGTCAAAAGTGGATGGTCCCGTGTAGAACCTTCTGTTCCACTCAGGCCTGTCTAGGCCAAAGACCCTGCTAAGCTTCCCTTAAGGCTGTGACCTAAAATAATTTTTGAATTGGAGATATTTATAAATTATTCTTTTTAAATAATTTTTAATTCAGAGTCAAAAGTGGATGGTCCCGTCTAGAACCTTCTTCCACTCAGACCTGTCTAGGTCAAAGACTCTGCTAAGATTCCTCAAGGTTGTGGACTAAAATAATTTTGAGTTGGAAGTATTTATAAGTTATTCCTTTTAATAAATTTTTAATTAATTTTTTAATTCAGAGTCAAAAGTGGATGGTCCCGTATAGAACCTTCTGTTCCACTCAGGCCTGTGTAGGCTAAAGACCCTGCTAAGCTTCCTCAAGGCTGTGACCTAAAATAATTTTAGATTGAAATGGGTATATTAATAAATTATTCCTTTTTAATATATTTTTTATTCAGAGTCAAAAGTGGATGGTCCCGTGTAGAACCTTCTGTTCCACTCAGGCCTGTGTAGGCCAGAGACCCTGCTAAGCTTCCTCAAGGCTGTGACCTAAAATAATTTTTAGATTGAATTGGGTATATTAATCAATTATTCCTTTTTAATAAATTTTTAATTCAGAGTCAAAAGTGGATGGTCCCGTGTAGAACCTTCTGTTCCACTCAGGCCTGTGTAGGCCAAAGACCCTGCTAAGCTCCCTCAAGACTGTGACCTAAAATAATTTTAGATTGAATTGGGTATATTTAAAAATTATTCCTTTTTAATATATTTTTTTATTTATTTCAGAGTCAAAAGTGGATGGTCCCGTGTAGAACCTTCTGTTCCACTCAGACCTGTCTAGGTCAAAGACTCTGCTAAGCTCCCTCAAGGCTGTGACCTAAAATAATTTTTGAATTGGAAATATTTATAAATTATTCTTTTAAATAAATTTTTAATTCAGAGTCAAAAGTGGATGGTCCCGTGTAGAACCTTCTGTTCCACTCAGGCCTGTCTAGGCCAAAGACCCTGCTAAGCTTCCCTTAAGGCTGTGACCTAAAATAATTTTTTGAATTGGAAATATTTATAAATTATTCTTTTAAATAATTTTTTAATTCAGAGTCAAAAGTGGATGGTCCCGTGTAGAACCTTCTGTTCCACTCAGACCTGTCTAGGTCAAAGACTCTGCTAAGCTCCCTCAAGGCTGTGAACTAAAATAATTTTTAATTCGAAGTATTCCTAAATTATTCCTTTTAATAAATCTTTAATTCAGAGTCAAAAGTGGATGGTCCCGTGTAGAACCTTCTGTTCCACTCAGGCCTGTCTAGGCCCAAGACCCTGCTAGGCTTCCTCAAGGCTGTGATCTACAATAATTTTAGATTGAATGGGGTATGTTTAAAAATTATTATTTTTTCACAATTTTTTAATTTAGAGTCAAAAGTGGATGGTCCTGTGTAGGACCTTCTGTTCCACTCAGGCCTGTTTAGGCCAAAGACCCTGATAAGGTCCCTCAAGGCTGTGACCTAAAATTATTTTGGATTGAACTGGGTATATTTATAAATTATTATATTTTAATAAATTTTTAATTCAGAGTCACAAGTGGATGGTCCCATGTAGAACCTTCTGTTCCACTCAGGCCTGTGTAGGCTCAAGACCCCGGTAATCTCCCTAACGCTGTGACCTAAAATTAACTTAAATTAAATCAGAGGTGTTATTTATAAATTATTTGAAAATATTACTGCAGAGTTAAGTGTTAATGTTATCAATAATTTTATTAATTTAATTTTATTAATTTTTGATTAATTAATAGAATTATTGGTCCAGAGTATCGACTTTTCAGAAGGTTGTATTGTTGTAGATGGATAAGTTTGAAATTAATTGGAGATTTTTTTATGAATTATCTAAGAGCTAGGTATAACTGTAAATTATTATTTCAGGGTTAAACAATTAGATAGGAATTGTAGTTTAGGTATCGGACTATTCTACAGGTATATTACATGATTAAAGCAATTTTGAGTTAGATAAGTAAGGTTAGCTCCCCAATTTATTGCCTACGGGTTTAAATTGGAATGTTATATAAAATTGTGTCATCAGTGTCTACGTTGTTTATTTTGTTAAAAAGTACAAGCAGGAACTGTTAAAGTTACACCGAACATTGAATTAATATTCCAGTCAAATTGAGTAAAAATTGTAACTTTGATTGCAGTGGAACCAAATTTATTATATTTAATTCACAATTTTAAGAATAAAAGAATTAAAAAAATAATAAAAATGGCGGTCTAAGTGCACCTACTTGAATTAAAAAGCAAATTAGAATGAAAAACAGAAGAAAATAAAAATTTAGTGTATAGTTGTTCCAAAACATTTTTATTTTTTCAAAATGGGGATACAATATACAGGTAGGGGAAATTAATAGGAAAAATAAAAAAATAAAAATAAAAAGTAAAATTGCCCAATAAAATTAATAAATTATAAGGTCTGGGATAAACAGTGGAATGTACAAAGTTTATCAAATTGGAAAGTGGGGAATACTGGAGTGGCAAAAAAACAAAAGGTGAAATAAAATCTGTCAAAAACTGGACCCAGTGATCAAAAGGTGGAAAATACGAGTTTGGTAAATGGTTAAATACTGAAATGCTATGTTAGAATAGAAATTAAGGTAAACCAAAAGGAGGTGCGGGTTTTATGGACCTTTATTCATGCACCCAGATAAATCGACACTCAAAATAGAAGACAAGAGGACCAGATTGTGTTTAGGTAAGTGATTCTTGAATTATTTTAAGACCTATTTGGTTTTTTTAAAAAAAATTTTTTTTAAAATAGACTTTTACATTGACCCAGCGCTGGTTTTAGACATTAAATTTCAGGACACGTCCTCAGTAGTGGACCTTGAAATCATCGGATGTTTCGGCCATTTTAACACTAGACACCCTCATTCAAGGAAGGCCCCACGGAGTCGATCAACTTCCATGTTGTGCCCCGTAGCCAATTGGAGCTATTTTAGACCTATTTAGTTTTGGTGCTAAGCGTTTTAGTTGTGCCTAGGTTAGTTGTTGCTGTTTTCGTGTCTATTTTTAGTATAATTGTTTAGCAATATGTTTTCCCTTTGTAGTACAGTTGTTTAGGAGTGTGTTTTTTTCGACTTACCGGATCAATCCTGAGTATCTGATGGTCTGAAGAAAAGTTTTAAAATCCGCTCTGCGATTTCGCGCTCGTCCGTGTCCGTACGGGGGTCCCGGCGGTGTGTTGTCGGGGGTGCGGTCCTCCGAAGTCCCGGTGAAGTTGGGCTCTCAGGGTGAGGCCGGCGGCGATGCGGCGTCTGCTCGGCGCCGCGGTCGCGGTCCCGGGTTCGGCGCGGCGGCGGAGCGTCCCGCGGTTCCCGGAGTCTGGATCCTTGGTGGCGGTCCTGTGCTGTCGTTCTTGTGGCTCTCCTCTGGAGTTCAGGTCGCTTGCAGTCTTCGAAAGGTCCCCTAAAACTTTATTCAGGAATTGCTCTAGCTCTTAAAAGTGCTGTTTGCGCTCTCAGTAGGAGGAACTGTTGTTAATACACGGGTATTAGGTTTTGGGGCTAGGGAAAGGTATAAGGTTTTTGGCGTTAGGGTTAAAATCACTGTCCAAAACCTTTGTAGGAACTCTTTTCAAACCATTTGGAGTTAGTTAGACCAAATAAAAATGAAAAATGAAAAAAAAATATTTGGCTTGTTTTGGCTTCCTGAAGATAATGCACGGGTTTTAGGTTTTGGGGCTAGGGTAAGGTTTAAGGTTTTTGGCGTTAGGGTTAAAATCACTGTCCAAAACCTTTGTAGGAACTATTTTCCAAGCTTTGGGAGTTAGTTAGACCAAAAAGAAATGAAAAATGAAAAAAAAATATTTGTGGTGTTCGGGCTTCCTGAAGATAATACACGGGTATTAGGTTTTGGGGCTAGGGAAAGGTTTAAGGTTTTTGGCGTTAGGGTTTAAATCACTGTCCAAAACCTTTGTAGGAACTCTTTTCCAACCTTTTGGACTTAGTTAGACCAAATAAAAATGAAAAATGAAAAAAAAATATTTGGGGTGTTGGGGCTACCTGAAGATAATACACGGGTATTAGGTTTGTGGCTAGGGGAAGGTTTAAGGTTTTTGGCGTTAGGGTTAAAATGACTTTCCAAAACCTATTTAGGAACATGTTTCAGACCTTTTGGAGTTGGTTACACCAAAAAAAAATGTAAAATGAAAAAAAAATATTTGGGGAGTTCGGGCTTCCTGAAGGTAATACCCAGGTATAAGTTTTGGGGCGATGGTAAGGTTTAAGGTTTTTGGCGTTAGGGTTAAAATCACTGTCCAAAACCTTTGTAGGAACTCTTTTCCAACCTTTTGGAGTTAGTTAGACCAAATAAAAATGAAAAATGAAAAAAAAAATATTTGGGGTGTTTGGGCTTCCTGAAGGTAATACCCGGGTATTAAGAGTTGGTGCTAGGGTAAGGTTTAAGGTTTTGGCGTTAGGGTTTAAATCACTGTCCAAAACCTTTGTAGGAACTGTTTTCCAACCTTTGGGAGTTAGTTAGACCAAATAAAAATGAAAAATGAAAAAAAAATATTTGGGGTGTTTGGGCTTCCTGAAGGTAATACCTGGGTATTAAGATTTGGGGCTAGGGTAAGGTTAAAGGTTTTGGCGTTACGGTTTAAATCACTGTCCAAAACGTTTGTAGGAACTCTTTTCCAACCTTTTGGAGTTAGTTAGACCAAAAAATAATGAAAAATGAAAAAAAAATATTTGGGGTTTTCGGGCTTCCTGAAGGTAATACCCGGGTATTAGGTTATGGGGCTGGGGTAAGGTTTAAGGTTTTTGGCGTTAGGGTTTAAATCACTGTCCAAAACCTTTGTAGGAACTATTTTCCAAGCTTTTGGAGTTAGTTAGACCAATAAAAAAGAAAAATGAAAAAAAAATATTTTGAGTTTTCAGGCTTCCTGAAGGTAATACCCGGGTATTAGGTTTTGGGGCTAGGGGAAGGTTTAAGGTTTTTGGCGTTAGGGTTAAAATGACTGTCCAAAACCTATTTAGGAACATGTTTCAGACCTTTTGGAGTTGGTTACACCAAATGAAAATAAAAAAATAAAAAAAAAATATTTGGGGTGTTCGGGCTTCCTGAAGGTAATACCCGGGTATAAGTTTTGGGGCGATGGTAAGGTTTAAGGTTTTTGGCGTTAGGGTTAAAATCACTGTCCAAAACCTTTGTAGGAACTCTTTTCCAACCTTTTGGAGTTAGTTAGACCAAATAAAAATGAAAAAAAATATATTTGGGGTGTTTGGGCTTCCTGAAGGTAATACCCGGGTATTAAGAGTTGGGGCTAGGGTAAGGTTAAAGGTGCTGGCGTTAGGGTTTAAATCACTGTCCAAAACCTTTGTAGGAACTGTTTTCCAACCTTTGGGAGTTAGTTAGACCAAAAAATAATGAAAAATGAAAAAAAAAATATTTGGGGTTTTCGGGCTTCCTGAAGGTAATACTTTAATAATATTAGGTTTTGGGGCTAGGGGAAGTTTTAAGGTTTTTTGGCGTTGCGGTTAAAATGACTGTCCAAAACCTTTGTAGTAACTCTTTTCCAACCTTTTGGAGATAGTTAGACCAAAAAAAATTTAAAAAAATATATTTATATTTGGGGTGTTAGGGAAAATACATGAAAATAGTCACTGGGAGCAAAGTTCTGAAGATTATACCACGAGGAAGGCCAGGAGACACGTCTGTACCGCTAGGAAGGGTAGACAATACTCAGGCGCTGAGACTGAGGGCTGCAGGCTTCTTAAAGTCCCTTAATTGGAGATGAGGAGCAGGTGTGTCGTCTCACTCAGCCTCAGCACCGGGGGAGGGGAGGAAGCTCTGGAAAAGAGTACAGCCAGACCAGGCAAACAGGGAAAAACAGGAAGTCCAGCCAAAATAAAACAGGATGAGGAGGCGTCTCACCACAGTACCCCCCCCTTAACGAACGCCTCTTGGCGTTCTGCCGGGCTTGTTGGGGTGGGCAGCGTAGAACTCTTCCAGGAGTTGGCGGTCCAGGATGAGGGAGCGGGAGATCCAGGAACGTTCCTCTGGACCGTAACCCTCCCAGTCCACGAGGTATTGGAAGCCTCGCCCCCGAGGCCGCACGTCCAGGATTTTCCTTACAGTGAAGGCAGGGTGGTCATCAATCAAACGGGAGGGTGGAGGGGCGACGGAAGGAGGGCTCAGGGTGCACGAGGCAACAGGTTTTAACAAGGAGACATGGAATGTGGGATGAATTTTAAGAGATGAGGGAAGTTTTAATCTCACCGCTGAAGGGTTGATGATTTTCTGGATAGGGAAGGGACCAATGAAGCGGGGGGACAGCTTGCGGGACTCGGTCTGCAGGGGAAGGTCACGAGACGATAACCAGACCATCTGACCAGGACGATAGTCTGGTGCTGGAGAGCGGTGAACGTCAGCCAGGCGTTTGTTGCGCTCGGCCGTGCGGGTGAGTGCGGCCCTGGCCGATCTCCACACCTCCCGTAGACGCCGTATGTGCTCCCTCACCGACGGGACGGCCACAGGTTGCTCCTGTTCGGGAAACAGGGGGGGCTGGTACCCAAAACAGCACATGAAAGGGGACATACCTGTGGCTGAAGAGGTGAGGGAGTTATGGGCGTATTGGATCCACGGGAGGTGCGTACTCCAGGACGCTGGATGATGGGCCGCCACACACCGCAGGGCCGACTCGAGGTTCTGATTAGCCCGCTCCGTCTGGCCATTGGTCTGTGGGTGGTAACCCGAGGAGAGGCTAGCTGCTGCGCCCACTGCCTGGCAGAAAGCTCTCCAGATCTGAGAGGAAAACTGAGGACCACGATCTGATACGATGTCACGGGGAATCCCATGTAATTGAAATACATGAGTGACTAGGAGGTTAGCAGTTTGAAAGGCAGATGGGAGCTTGGGTAAAGGGACATAGTGAACAAATTTGGAGAATCTGTCAATGATGGTGAGTATGACTGTGTTACCTTCAGAGGGAGGGAGACCAGTGACGAAATCTAAGGCTATGTGGGACCAGGGGCGTGAAGGCACAGGCAGAGGACGCAGCAAGCCAGCCGGAGGTTGGTGGGAGGCTTTGCTTCGGGCACAGACGGAGCAGGCAGCAACAAACGCCCGTACGTCCCGGACCATCCCCGGCCACCAGAACCGCTGCTGGAGGAATTGGAGGGTGCGTTGAAACCCGGGGTGGCAGGTGAGCTTGGAGGAGTGCCCCCACTGTAGGACCTGAGAACGTGCGACCTCAGGGACGAACTTTCTGTCCGGCGGGCCGGTTCCAGGGTCTGGGTGGTTCCGGAGGGCCTGGTCCACGATGGTATCGATCTCCCAGGTGGCGGAGCCAACGACACAGGAGGCGGGGAGGATGGTGTCTGGTTCACGGGGGTCCGGGGTATCCGAGGCGTGGATCCGAGAGAGGGCGTCTGGTTTGAGGTTGCGGGAGCCGGGACGATAGGAGAGGGTGAAATTGAATCTGCTGAGGAAAAGGGACCAGCGGGCTTGCCTGGGGTTGAGGCGACGAGCGGAGCGGAGGTATTGCAGGTTCTTGTGGTCTGTCCAGATTAGAAACGGTTGGGGTGCTCCTTCCAGCCAGTGTCTCCATTCTTGCAGTGCCCACACGACAGCCAGTAATTCACGGTTTCCCACGTCATAATTTTGTTCCGTGGCTGAGAGTTTCCGGGAGAAAAAGGCGCAAGGATGAAGCTTCTGGGTCTGAGAGTCCCTCTGTGAGAGGACGGCCCCTACTCCAGAGTCCGAAGCGTCGACCTCCACCACGAACTGAAGCGAGGGATCTGGGTGTTTGAGCACCGGGGCGGAGATGAAGAGGGATTTGAGATGATGAAAGGTGGCGTCTGCTTCGGGGGTCCAGGAGAATGGAACCTTGAGGGATGTGAGCCGGGTGAGGGGAACTGCCACCTTACTGTAGTTTTTAATGAACCGTCGATAGAAATTAGCGAAGCCGAGGAATCGCTGGAGGTCTTTGCGGGAGGAGGGAGTGGGCCAGTCACGGACAGCATGGATTTTTTCTGGGTCTGGGCGTAGCTCCCCCTGGGCGATGATGTAGCCAAGGAAACTGACGGAGGAGGCGTGGAACTCGCACTTTTCGGGCTTCACGAAGAGGCGGTTTTCGAGGAGGCGCTGAAGGACGAGTCGGACGTGCTGCTGGTGTTCCTCCAGGTTTCGGGAGAAAATCAGGATATCGTCCAAGTAGACAAAGGCGAACTTGGTAATCATGTCACGGAGGACATCATTAATGAGGGTCTGGAACACAGCAGGGGCGTTGGTGAGGCCAAAGGGCATAACCAGGTATTCGAAGTGGCCCATGGGTGTGTTAAAGGCAGTCTTCCACTCATCCCCCTCCCGGATGCGAACCAGGTGATAGGCATTCCGGAGGTCCAGTTTTGAGAAGATGGTGGCTTGACAGAGAGGTTCGAAGGAGGGATCAATGAGTGGCAGGGGATATTTGTTTTTAATGGTGATGTCATTTAATCCACGGAAGTCAATGCAGGGACGGAGAGAGGAATCTTTTTTCTTCACGAAGAAGAAGCCAGCAGCAAGGGGAGAAGATGAGGGTCGGATGAGTCCAGAGGTCAGGGAGTCTTGAATGTATTCCTCCATGGCCTCTCGTTCGGGCCGAGAGAGGTTGTATAGTCTACTACTGGGAAGAGGTGCGCCAGGGAGCAGGTCTATGGCGCAGTCATAGGGGCGATGAGGAGGAAGGACAAGAGACTGCTCCTTACTGAACACCATTGCCAGGTCATGGTAAACGGGGGGAACCGAGGTGAGAGATGGCGGTGGAGATGCTGACCTCTGTCGGTGGATGTAGGGATTGGCGGAGCGGAGGCAGTGGGAGTGACAGTGAGGGCTCCAGGCGGAGATTGAAGATGTGGACCAGTTAATCTGAGGGTTGTGGATTTGCAGCCAAGGGAGTCCCAGTACCAGGGGAGAGTGAGGAGAGGGCAGCAGGAACAGCCGGATGTCCTCCCGATGGTTACCGGAGAGGATGAGGGTGAGGGGAGCAGTGCGGTGTGTAATGGAGGCTATTACTCTGCCATCGAGAGCGGTGACCTTACGGGGAACCGGGAGTTCCTCCAGGGGGAGCTGAAGCCGCGCTGCCAGTCCGGTGTGAATGAAGTTATCGTCCGCCCCAGAGTCAATGAGGGTTTGGAGGGAAGTGGATTCCTTTCCCCAAAGGAGACAGGCAGGGACTGTGATACGCCTGGGGGAGACCCGCTGACTGCAACAGAGGAAGGGGAGTCTATTCTAGGGACCAGGGAATGGATTTCCTTCTCCCTCCGTCTCTCCCTGAGGCGATTATCTATACGAATAGCGAACGCTATTAGCTCCTCAAGGGAGGAAGGCTCATCTCGAGCCGCTAGCTCGTCTTTCAAATGTTCTGAGAGACCCCGAGTGAATGCCTCTTTTAACTCGAGTTCCCCCCACCCACTCTCGGCCGCCACTGTACGGAACTCAATGGAGTAATCCGCCACTGACCGAGAGCTCTGGGTGAGGGAAAACAACCGTTTGGTGCGCTCGGGGCCCTCGACTGGAAAATCAAATATTCTACGGAGCTCTTCTGAAAAACGGGCGTAAGAGGCGAACAGAGGTGAGTCCCTATCCCAGACGGCCGTAGCCCACTTCGCGGCCCTACCTCTTAACAAATTGATGGTGTAGGCGATCTTAGCTCGATCTGAGGGGTAACTAATGGGCTGTTGGTCAAACACTAAGGCGCATCGGAGTAGGAAACCTCTGCAGCCCCCAATCTCCCCAGCATACGGCTCAGGAGGAGGGACATAGGGCTCTTTGAGGATAGTGGGTGGTGGAGGAGGCGAAGAGGGGAGCGTACTCACAGAGGGGGGAGATCCTGTTTGCTGCGGTGGAGGCCGAGGGAGTCGTTGCTCAGCAAGCTGCGACATTTGAACGGAGAGGCCATGAACTGACTGGTAGAGACTCTGGAGCATATCCTCATGTTGGCCAAGCCGCATGCCGAGCTTCTGGACGGCTAGCTGAACTCTGTCTAGGTCTGCTGGGTCCATTTTCCTGGCCTGAGTATTCTGTTGTGAGGCAGGTTCGTGGTGAGGACCCAGATGCAGACACAGAGACTGAGATCAACTTAAAGAGACTTTTAATGTCCAAAAAAGGGGAGATAGTGCAAACAGAGGAAGTCCGAAGGGCTGGTTGGCTGGCTGTCATGTGGGCTGGAGACACTGCAGGAAAAAACCAGAGGAGACAGGAGTTAATAAACATGAAAATAGTCACTGGGAGCAAAGTTCTGAAGATTATACTACGAGGAAGGCCAGGAGACACGTCTGTACCGCTAGGAAGGGTAGACAATACTCAGGCGCTGAGACTGAGGGCTGCAGGCTTCTTAAAGTCCCTTAATTGGAGATGAGGAGCAGGTGTGTCGTCTCACTCAGCCTCAGCACCGGGGGAGGGGAGGAAGCTCTGGAAAAGAGTACAGCCAGACCAGGCAAATAGGGAAAAACAGGAAGTCCAGCCAAAATAAAACAGGATGAGGAGGCGTCTCACCACATAGTTAGACCAAATAAAAATGAATAATGAAAAAAAAATATTTGGGGTGTTTGGGCTTCCTGAAGGTAATACCCAGGTATTAGGTTTAGGGGCTAGGGGAAGGTTTAAGGTTTTTGGCGTTAGGGTTAAAATCACTGTCCAAAACCTTTGTAGTAACTCTTTTCCAACCTTTTGGAGTTAGTTAGACTAAAAAAAAAGAAAGATGAAAAAAAAAATGTTTGGGGTTTTCGGGCTTCCTGAAGGTAATACTTTAATAATATTAGGTTTTGGGGCTAGGGGAAGTTTTAAGGTTTTTTGGCGTTAGGGTTAAAATGACTGTCCAAAACCTTTGTAGTAACTCTTTTCCAACCTTTTGGAGATAGTTAGACCAAAAAAAATTTAAAAAAATATATTTATATTTGGGGTGTTAGGGCTTCCTGAAGGTAATGCCCGGGTATTAGGATTTGGGGCTAGGGTAAGGTTTAAGGTTTTGGCGTTAGGGTTAAAATCACTGTCCAAAACCTTTGTAGGAACTCTTTTCCAACCTTTTGGAGTTAGTTAGACCAAATAAAAATTAATAATGAAAAAAAAATGTTTGGGGTGTTTGGGCTTCCTGAAGGTAATACCCAGGTATTAGGTTTAGGGGCTAGGGGAAGGTTTAAGGTTTTTGGCGTTAGGGTTAAAATCACTGTCCAAAACCTTTGTAGGAACTCTTTTCCAACCTTTTGGAGTTAGTTAGACCAAATAAAAATTAATAATGAAAAAAAAATGTTTGGGGTGTTTGGGCTTCCTGAAGGTAATACCCAGGTATTAGGTTTAGGGGCTAGGGGAAGGTTTAAGGTTTTTGGCGTTAGGGTTAAAATCACTGTCCAAAACCTTTGTAGTAACTCTTTTCCAACCTTTTGGAGTTAGTTAGACTAAAAAAAAAGAAAGATGAAAAAAAAAAATATTTGGGGTTTTCGGGCTTCCTGAAGGTAATACTTTAATAATATTAGGTTTTGGGGCTAGGGTAAGGTTTAAGGTTTTTGGCGTTAGGGTTAAAATGACTGTCCAAAACCTATTTAGGAACATGTTTCAGACCTTTTGGAAATGGTTACACCAAATAAAAATAAAAAATAAAAAATAAATATTTGGGGTGTTCGGGCTTCCTGAAGGTAATACCCGGGTATAAGTTTTGGGGCTATGGTAAGGTTTAAGGTTTTTGGCGTTAGGGTTAAAATCACTCTCCAAAACCTTTGTAGGAACTCTTTTCCAACCATTTGGAGTTAGTTAGACCAAATAAAAATGAAAAATGAAAAAAACAATATTTGGCTTGTTTTGGCTTTCTGAAGATAATGCACGGGTATTAGGTTATGGGGCTATGGTAAGGTTTAAGGTTTTTGGCGTTAGGGTTAAAATCACTGTCCAAAACCTTTGTAGGATCTCTTTTCCAAGCTTTTGGAGTTAGTTAGACCAAAAAAAAAGAAAAATGAAAAAAAAATATTTGTGGTGTTCGGGCTTCCTGAAGATAATACCCGGGTATTAGGTTATGGGGCTATGGTAAGGTTTAAGGTTTTGGGCGTTAGGGTTAAAATCACTGTCCAAAACCTTTGTAGGATCTCTTTTCCAACCTTTTGGAGTTAGTTAGACCAAATAAAAATGAAAAATGAAAAAAAAAATATTTGGGGTGTTTGGGCTTCCTGAAGGTAATACCCGGGTATTAAGATTTGGGGCTAGGGTAAGGTTTAAGGTTTTGGCGTCAGGGTTTAAATCACTGTCCAAAACCTTTGTAGGAACTATTTTCCAAGCTTTTGGAGTTAGTTAGACCAAAAAGAAATGAAAAATGAAAAAAAAATATTTGTGGTGTTCGGGCTTCCTGAAGATAATACACGGGTATTAGGTTTTGTGGCTAGGGAAAGGTTTAAGGTTTTTGGCGTTAGGGTTAAAATCACTGTCCAAAACCTTTGTAGGAACTCTTTTCCAACCATTTGGAGTTAGTTAGACCAAATAAAAATGAAAAATGAAAAAAACAATATTTGGCTTGTTTTGGCTTCCTGAAGATAATGCACGGGTATTAGGTTATGGGGCTATGGTAAGGTTTAAGGTTTTTGGCGTTAGGGTTAAAATCACTGTCCAAAACCTTTGTAGGATCTCTTTTCCAAGCCTTTTGGAGTTAGTTAGACCAAAAACAAATGAAAAATGAAAAAAAAATATTTGGGGTGTTTGGGCTTCCTGAAGGTAATACCCGGGTATTAGGTTATGGGGCTGGGGTAAGGTTTAAGGTTTTTGGCGTTAGGGTTAAAATCACTGTCCAAAACCTTTGTAGTAACTCTTTTCCAAGCTTTTGGAGTTAGTTAGACCAAAAAAAAGAAAAATGAAAAAAAAATATTTGGGGTGTTTGGGCTTCCTGAAGGTAATACCCGGGTATTAAGATTTGGGGCTAGGGTAAGGTTTAAGGTTTTGGCGTCAGGGTTTAAATCACTGTCCAAAACCTTTGTAGGAACTATTTTCCAAGCTTTTGGAGTTAGTTAGACCAAAAAGAAATGAAAAATGAAAAAAAAAATATTTGTGGTGTTCGGGCTTCCTGAAGATAATACACTGGTATTAGGTTTTGGGGCTAGGGAAAGGTTTAAGGTTTTTGGCGTTAGGGTTAAAATCACTGTCCAAAACGTTTGTAGGAACTCTTTTCCAACCATTTGGAGTTAGTTAGACCAAATAAAAATGAAAAATGAAAAAAACAATATTTGGCTTGTTTTGGCTTCCTGAAGATAATGCACGGGTATTAGGTTATGGGGCTATGGTAAGGTTTAAGGTTTTTGGCGTTAGGGTTAAAATCACTGTCCAAAACCTTTGTAGGATCTCTTTTCCAAGCTTTTGGAGTTAGTTAGACCAAAAAAAATGAAAAAAAAAAAAAAATATTTGGGGTTGTTTGGGCTTCCTGAAGGTAATACCCGGGTATTAGGTTATGGGGCTATGGTAAGGTTTAAGGTTTTGGGCGTTAGGGTTAAAATCACTGTCCAAAACCTTTGTAGGAACTCTTTTCCAACCTTTTGGAGTTAGTTAGACCAAATAAAAATTAATAATGAAAAAAAAATATTTGGGGTGTTTGGGCTTCCTGAAGGTAATACCCGGGTATTAGGTTTGGGGCTAGGGTAAGGTTTAAGGTTTTGGCGTTAGGGTTAAAATCACTGTCCAAAACCTTTGTAGTAACTCTTTTCCAACCTTTTGGAGTTAGTTAGACCTAAAAAAAAAGAAAAATGAAAAAAAAATATTTGGGGTTTTCGGGCTTCCTGAAGGTAATACTTTAATAATATTAGGTTTTGGGGCTAGGGTAAGGTTTAAGGTTTTTGGCGTTAGGGTTAAAATGACTGTCCAAAACCTATTTAGGAACATGTTTCAGACCTTTTGGAAATGGTTACACCAAATAAAAATAAAAAATAAAAAATAAATATTTGGGGTGTTCGGGCTTCCTGAAGGTAATACCCGGGTATAAGTTTTGGGGCTATGGTAAGGTTTAAGGTTTTTGGCGTTAGGGTTAAAATCACTCTCCAAAACCTTTGTAGGAACTCTTTTCCAACCATTTGGAGTTAGTTAGACCAAATAAAAATGAAAAATGAAAAAAACAATATTTGGCTTGTTTTGGCTTTCTGAAGATAATGCACGGGTATTAGGTTATGGGGCTATGGTAAGGTTTAAGGTTTTTGGCGTTAGGGTTAAAATCACTGTCCAAAACCTTTGTAGGATCTCTTTTCCAAGCTTTTGGAGTTAGTTAGACCAAAAAAAAAGAAAAATGAAAAAAAAATATTTGTGGTGTTCGGGCTTCCTGAAGATAATACCCGGGTATTAGGTAATGGGGCTATGGTAAGGGTTTAAGGTTTTGGGCGTTAGGGTTAAAATCACTGTCCAAAACCTTTGTAGGATCTCTTTTCCAACCTTTTGGAGTTAGTTAGACCAAATAAAAATGAAAAATGAAAAAAAAATATTTGGGGTGTTTGGGCTTCCTGAAGGTAATACCCGGGTATTAAGATTTGGGGCTAGGGTAAGGTTTAAGGTTTTGGCATCAGGGTTAAAATCACTGTCCAAAACCTTTGTAGGAACTATTTTCCAAGCTTTTGGAGTTAGTTAGACCAAAAAGAAATGAAAAATGAAAAAAAAATATTTGTGGTGTTCGGGCTTCCTGAAGATAATACACGGGTATTAGGTTTTGTGGCTAGGGAAAGGTTTAAGGTTTTTGGCGTTAGGGTTAAAATCACTGTCCAAAACCTTTGTAGGAACTCTTTTCCAACCATTTGGAGTTAGTTAGACCAAATAAAAATGAAAAATGAAAAAAACAATATTTGGCTTGTTTTGGCTTCCTGAAGATAATGCACGGGTATTAGGTTATGGGGCTATGGTAAGGTTTAAGGTTTTTGGCGTTAGGGTTAAAATCACTGTCCAAAACCTTTGTAGGATCTCTTTTCCAAGCTTTTGGAGTTAGTTAGACCAAAAAAAAAAGAAAAATGAAAAAAAAATATTTGGGGTGTTCGGGCTTCCTGAAGGTAATACCCGGGTATTAGGTTATGGGGCTGGGGTAAGGTTTAAGGTTTTTGGCGTTAGGGTTAAAATCACTGTCCAAAACCTTTGTAGTAACTCTTTTCCAACCTTTTGGAGTTAGTTAGACCAAAAAAAAAGAAAAATGAAAAAAAAATATTTGGGGTGTTTGGGCTTCCTGAAGGTAATACCCGGGTATTAAGATTTGGGGCTAGGGTAAGGTTTAAGGTTTTGGCGTCAGGGTTTAAATCACTGTCCAAAACCTTTGTAGGAACTATTTTCCAAGCTTTTGGAGTTAGTTAGACCAAAAAGAAATGAAAAATGAAAAAAAAATATTTGTGGTGTTCGGGCTTCCTGAAGATAATACACGGGTATTAGGTTTTGGGGCTAGGGAAAGGTTTAAGGTTTTTGGCGTTAGGGTTAAAATCACTGTCCAAAACCTTTGTAGGAACTCTTTTCCAACCTTTTGGAGTTAGTTAGACCAAATAAAAATGAAAAATGAAAAAAAAATATTTGGGGTGTTTGGGCTTCCTGAAGGTAATACCCGGGTATTAAGATTTGGGGCTGGGGTAAGGTTTAAGGTTTTTGGCGTTAGGGTTAAAATCACTGTCCAAAACCTTTGTAGTAACTCTTTTCCAAGCTTTTGGAGTTAGTTAGACCAAAAAAAAAGAAAAATGAAAAAAAAATATTTGGGGTGTTTGGGCTTCCTGAAGGTAATACCCGGGTATTAAGATTTGGGGCTAGGGTAAGGTTTAAGGTTTTGGCGTTAGGGTTTAAATCACTGTCCAAAACCTTTGTAGGAACTGTTTTCCAACCTTTTGGAGTTAGTTAGACCAAAAAGAAATGAAAAATGAAAAAAAAATATTAGTGGTGTTCGGGCTTCCTGAAGATAATACACCGGTATTAGGTTTTGGGGCTATGGTAAGGTTTAAGGTTTTTGGCGTTAGGGTTAAAATCACTGTCCAAAACCTTTGTAGGATCTCTTTTCCAAGCTTTTGGAGTTAGTTAGACCAAAAAAAAAGAAAAATGAAAAAAAAATATTTGGGGTGTTCGGGCTTCCTGAAGGTAATACCCGGGTATTAGGTTATGGGGCTATGGTAAGGTTTAAGGTTTTGGGCGTTAGGGTTAAAATCACTGTCCAAAACCTTTGTAGGATCTCTTTTCCAACCTTTTGGAGTTAGTTAGACCAAATAAAAATGAAAAATGAAAAAAAAATATTTGGGGTGTTTGGGCTTCCTGAAGGTAATACCTGGGTATTAAGATTTGGGGCTAGGGTAAGGTTAAAGGTTTTGGCATTAGGGTTTAAATCACTGTCCAAAACGTTTGTAGGAACTCTTTTCCAACCTTTTGGAGTTAGTTAGACCAAAAAATAATGAAAAATGAAAAAAAAATATTTGGGGTTTTCGGGCTTCCTGAAGGTAATACCCGGGTATTAGGTTATGGGGCTGGGGTAAGGTTTAAGGTTTTTGGCGTTAGGGTTAAAATCACTGTCCAAAACCTTTGTAGTAACTCTTTTCCAAGCTTTTGGAGTTAGTTAGACCAAAAAAAAAGAAAAATGAAAAAAAAATATTTGGGGTGTTTGGGCTTCCTGAAGGTAATACCCGGGTATTAAGATTTGGGGCTAGTGTAAGGTTTAAGGTTTTGGCGTCAGGGTTTAAATCGCTGTCCAAAACCTTTGTAGGAACTATTCTCCAAGCTTTTGGAGTTAGTTAGACCAAAAAGAAATGAAAAATGAAAAAAAAATATTTGTGGTGTTCGGGCTTCCTGAAGATAATACACCGGTATTAGGTTTTGGGGCTAGGGAAAGGTTTAAGGTTTTTGGCGTTAGGGTTAAAGTCACTGTCCAAAACCTTTGTAGGAACTCTTTTCCAACCATTTGGAGTTAGTTAGACCAAATAAAAATGAAAAATGAAAAAAACAATATTTGGCTTGTTTTGGCTTCCTGAAGATAATGCACGGGTATTAGGTTATGGGGCTATGGTAAGGTTTAAGGTTTTTGGCATTAGGGTTAAAATCACTGTCCAAAACCTTTGTAGGATCTCTTTTCCAAGCTTTTGGAGTTAGTTAGACCAAAAAAAAATGAAAAATGAAAAAAAAATATTTGGGGTGTTCGGGCTTCCTGAAGGTAATACCCGGGTATTAGGTTATGGGGCTATGGTAAGGTTTAAGGTTTTGGGCGTCAGGGTTTAAATCACTGTCCAAAACCTTTGTAGGATCTCTTTTCCAACCTTTTGGAGTTAGTTAGACCAAATAAAAATGAAAAATGAAAAAAAAATATTTGGGGTTTTCGGGCTTCCTGAAGGTAATACCCGGGTATTAAGAGTTGGGGCTAGGGTAAGGTTTAAGGTTTTGGTGTTAGGGTTTAAATCACTGTCCAAAACCTTTGTAGGAACTGTTTTCCAACCTTTTGGAGTTAGTTAGACCAAATAAAAATGAAAAATGAAAAAAAAATATTTGGGGTGTTTGGGCTTCCTGAAGGTAATACCCGGGTATTAAGATTTGGGGCTAGGGTAAGGTTTAAGGTTTTGGCGTTAGGGTTTAAATCACTGTCCAAAACCTTTGTAGGAACTGTTTTCCAACCTTTTGTGTTAGTTAGACCAAAAAGAAATGAAAAATGAAAAAAAAAAATTAGTGGTGTTCGGGCTTCCTGAAGATAATACACCGGTATTAGGTTATGGGGCTATGGTAAGGTTTAAGGTTTTTGGCGTTAGGGTTTAAATCACTGTCCAAAACCTTTGTAGGATCTCTTTTCCAACCTTTTGGAGTTAGTTAGACCAAATAAAAATGAAAAATGAAAAAAAAATATTTGGGGTTTTCGGGCTTCCTGAAGGTAATACCCGGGTATTAGGTTTTGGGGCTAGGGTAAGGTTTAAGGTTTTGGCGTTAGGGTTTAAATCACTGTCCAAAACCTTTGTAGGAACTGTTTTCCAACCTTTTGGAGTTAGTTAGACCAAATAAAAATGAAAAATGAAAAAAAAATATTTGGGGTGTTTGGGCTTCCTGAAGGTAATACCCGGGTATTAAGATTTGGGGCTAGGGTAAGGTTAAAGGTTTTGGCGTTAGGGTTTAAATCACTGTCCAAAACGTTTGTAGGAACTCTTTTCCAACCTTTTGGCGTTAGGGTTAAAATCACTGTCCAAAACCTTTGTAGGATCTCTTTTCCAACCTTTTGGAGTTAGTTAGACCAAATAAAAATGAAAAATGAAAAAAAAATATTTGGGGTGTTGGGGCTACCTGAAGATAATACCCGGGTATTAAGATTTGGGGCTAGGGTAAGGTTAAAGGTTTTGGCGTTAGGGTTTAAATCACTGTCCAAAACCTTTGTAGGAACTCTTTTCCAACCTTTTGGAGTTAGTTAGACCAAAAAATAATGAAAAATGAAAAAAAAATATTTGGGGTTTTCGGGCTTCCTGAAGGTAATACCCGGGTATTAGGTTATGGGGCTGGGGTAAGGTTTAAGGTTTTTGGCGTTAGGGTTAAAATCACTGTCCAAAACCTTTGTAGTAACTCTTTTCCAAGCTTTTGGAGTTAGTTAGACCAAAAAAAAAGAAAAATGAAAAAAAAATATTTGGGGTGTTTGGGCTTCCTGAAGGTAATACCCGGGTATTAAGATTTGGGGCTAGGGTAAGGTTTAAGGTTTTGGCGTCAGGGTTTAAATCACTGTCCAAAACCTTTGTAGGAACTATTTTCCAAGCTTTTGGAGTTAGTTAGACCAAAAAGAAATGAAAAATGAAAAAAAAATATTTGTGGTGTTCGGGCTTCCTGAAGATAATACACCGGTATTAGGTTTTGGGGCTAGGGAAAGGTTTAAGGTTTTTGGCGTTAGGGTTAAAATCACTGTCCAAAACCTTTGTAGGAACTCTTTTCCAACCATTTGGAGTTAGTTAGACCAAATAAAAATGAAAAATGAAAAAAACAATATTTGGCTTGTTTTGGCTTCCTGAAGATAATGCACGGGTATTAGGTTATGGGGCTATGGTAAGGTTTAAGGTTTTTGGCGTTAGGGTTAAAATCACTGTCCAAAACCTTTGTAGGATCTCTTTTCCAAGCTTTTGGAGTTAGTTAGACCAAAAAAAAAGAAAAATGAAAAAAAAATATTTGGGGTGTTCGGGCTTCCTGAAGGTAATACCCGGGTATTAGGTTATGGGGCTATGGTAAGGTTTAAGGTTTTGGGCGTTAGGGTTAAAATCACTGTCCAAAACCTTTGTAGGATCTCTTTTCCAACCTTTTGGAGTTAGTTAGACCAAATAAAAATGAAAAATGAAAAAAAAATATTTGGGGTTTTCGGGCTTCCTGAAGGTAATACCCGGGTATTAAGAGTTGGGGCTAGGGTAAGGTTTAAGGTTTTGGCGTTAGGGTTTAAATCACTGTCCAAAACCTTTGTAGGAACTGTTTTCCAACCTTTGGGAGTTAGTTAGACCAAATAAAAATGAAAAATGAAAAAAAAATATTTGGGGTGTTTGGGCTTCCTGAAGGTAATACCCGGGTATTAAGATTTGGGGCTAGGGTAAGGTTAAAGGTTTTGGCGTTAGGGATTAAATCACTGTCCAAAACGTTTGTAGGAACTCTTTTCCAACCTTTTGGCGTTAGGGTTAAAATCACTGTCCAAAACCTTTGTAGGATCTCTTTTCCAACCTTTTGGAGTTAGTTAGACCAAATAAAAATGAAAAATGAAAAAAAAATATTTGGGGTGTTTGGGCTTCCTGAAGGTAATACCCGGGTATTAAGATTTGGGGCTAGGGTAAGGTTAAAGGTTTTGGCATTAGGGTTTAAATCACTGTCCAAAACGTTTGTAGGAACTCTTTTCCAACCTTTTGGAGTTAGTTAGACCAAAAAATAATGAAAAATGAAAAAAAAATATTTGGGGTTTTCGGGCTTCCTGAAGGTAATTCCCGGGTATTAGGTTATGGGGCTGGGGTAAGGTTTAAGGTTTTTGGCGTTAGGGTTAAAATCACTGTCCAAAACCTTTGTAGTAACTCTTTTCCAAGCTTTTGGAGTTAGTTAGACCAAAAAAAAAGAAAAATGAAAAAAAAATATTTGGGGTGTTTGGGCTTCCTGAAGGTAATACCCGGGTATTAAGATTTGGGGCTAGTGTAAGGTTTAAGGTTTTGGCGTCAGGGTTTAAATCGCTGTCCAAAACCTTTGTAGGAACTATTCTCCAAGCTTTTGGAGTTAGTTAGACCAAAAAGAAATGAAAAATGAAAAAAAAATATTTGTGGTGTTCGGGCTTCCTGAAGATAATACACCGGTATTAGGTTTTGGGGCTAGGGAAAGGTTTAAGGTTTTTGGCGTTAGGGTTAAAGTCACTGTCCAAAACCTTTGTAGGAACTCTTTTCCAACCATTTGGAGTTAGTTAGACCAAAAAATAATGAAAAATGAAAAAAAAATATTTGGGGTTTTCGGGCTTCCTGAAGGTAATACCCGGGTATTAGGTTATGGGGCTATGGTAAGGTTTAAGGTTTTGGGCGTTAGGGTTTAAATCACTGTCCAAAACCTTTGTAGGATCTCTTTTCCAACCTTTTGGAGTTAGTTAGACCAAATAAAAATGAAAAATGAAAAAAAAATATTTGGGGTTTTCGGGCTTCCTGAAGGTAATACCCGGGTATTAAGAGTTGGGGCTAGGGTAAGGTTTAAGGTTTTGGTGTTAGGGTTTAAATCACTGTCCAAAACCTTTGTAGGAACTGTTTTCCAACCTTTGGGAGTTAGTTAGACCAAATAAAAATGAAAAATGAAAAAAAAATATTTGGGGTGTTTGGGCTTCCTGAAGGTAATACCCGGGTATTAAGATTTGGGGCTAGGGTAAGGTTTAAGGTTTTGGCGTTAGGGTTTAAATCACTGTCCAAAACCTTTGTAGGAACTGTTTTCCAACCTTTTGTGTTAGTTAGACCAAAAAGAAATGAAAAATGAAAAAAAAAAATTAGTGGTGTTCGGGCTTCCTGAAGATAATACACCGGTATTAGGTTATGGGGCTATGGGTAAGGTTTAAGGTTTTTGGCGTTAGGGTTTAAATCACTGTCCAAAACCTTTGTAGGATCTCTTTTCCAACCTTTTGGAGTTAGTTAGACCAAATAAAAATGAAAAATGAAAAAAAAATATTTGGGGTTTTCGGGCTTCCTGAAGGTAATACCCGGGTATTAAGAGTTGGGGCTAGGGTAAGGTTTAAGGTTTTGGCGTTAGGGTTTAAATCACTGTCCAAAACCTTTGTAGGAACTGTTTTCCAACCTTTGGGAGTTAGTTAGACCAAATAAAAATGAAAAATGAAAAAAAAATATTTGGGGTGTTTGGGCTTCCTGAAGGTAATACCCGGGTATTAAGATTTGGGGCTAGGGTAAGGTTAAAGGTTTTGGCGTTAGGGTTTAAATCACTGTCCAAAACGTTTGTAGGAACTCTTTTCCAACCTTTTGGCGTTAGGGTTAAAATCACTGTCCAAAACCTTTGTAGGATCTCTTTTCCAACCTTTTGGAGTTAGTTAGACCAAATAAAAATGAAAAATGAAAAAAAAATATTTGGGGTGTTGGGGCTACCTGAAGATAATACCCGGGTATTAAGATTTGGGGCTAGGGTAAGGTTAAAGGTTTTGGCGTTAGGGTTTAAATCACTGTCCAAAACGTTTGTAGGAACTCTTTTCCAACCTTTTGGAGTTAGTTAGACCAAAAAATAATGAAAAATGAAAAAAAAAATATTTGGGGTTTTCGGGCTTCCTGAAGGTAATACCCGGGTATTAGGTTATGGGGCTGGGGTAAGGTTTAAGGTTTTTGGCGTTAGGGTTAAAATCACTGTCCAAAACCTTTGTAGTAACTCTTTTCCAACCTTTTGGAGTTAGTTAGACCAAAAAAAAAGAAAAATGAAAAAAAAATATTTTGGGTGTTTGGGCTTCCTGAAGGTAATACCCGGGTATTAAGATTTGGGGCTAGTGTAAGGTTTAAGGTTTTGGCGTCAGGGTTTAAATCACTGTCCAAAACCTTTGTAGGAACTATTTTCCAAGCTTTTGGAGTTAGTTAGACCAAAAAGAAATGAAAAATGAAAAAAAAATATTTGTGGTGTTCGGGCTTCCTGAAGATAATACACCGGTATTAGGTTTTGGGGCTAGGGAAAGGTTTAAGGTTTTTGGCGTTAGGGTTAAAATCACTGTCCAAAACCTTTGTAGGAACTCTTTTCCAACCATTTGGAGTTAGTTAGACCAAATAAAAATGAAAAATGAAAAAAACAATATTTGGCTTGTTTTGGCTTCCTGAAGATAATGCACGGGTATTAGGTTATGGGGCTATGGTAAGGTTTAAGGTTTTGGGCGTTAGGGTTAAAATCACTGTCCAAAACCTTTGTAGGATCTCTTTTCCAACCTTTTGGAGTTAGTTAGACCAAATAAAAATGAATAATGAAAAAAAAAGATTTGGGGTTTTCGGGCTTCCTGAAGGTAATACCCGGGTATTAAGAGTTGGGGCTAGGGTAAGGTTTAAGGTTTTGGCGTTAGGGTTAAAATCACTGTCCAAAACCTTTGTAGGAACTGTTTTCCAACCTTTGGGAGTTAGTTAGACCAAATAAAAATGAAAAATGAAAAAAAAATATTTGGGGTGTTTGGGCTTCCTGAAGGTAATACCCGGGTATTAAGATTTGGGGCTAGGGTAAGGTTAAAGGTTTTGGCGTTAGGGATTAAATCACTGTCCAAAACGTTTGTAGGAACTCTTTTCCAACCTTTTGGCGTTAGGGTTAAAATCACTGTCCAAAACCTTTGTAGGATCTCTTTTCCAACCTTTTGGAGTTAGTTAGACCAAATAAAAATGAAAAATGAAAAAAAAATATTTGGGATTTTCGGGCTTCCTGAAGGTAATACCCGGGTATTAAGAGTTGGGGCTAGGGTAAGGTTTAAGGTTTTGGCGTTAGGGTTTAAATCACTGTCCAAAACCTTTGTAGGAACTGTTTTCCAACCTTTGGGAGTTAGTTAGACCAAATAAAAATGAAAAATGAAAAAAAAATATTTGGGGTGTTTGGGCTTCCTGAAGGTAATACCCGGGTATTAAGATTTGGTGCTAGGGTAAGGTTAAAGGTTTTGGCGTTAGGGTTAAATCACTGTCCAAAACGTTTGTAGGAACTCTTTTCCAACCTTTTGGAGTTAGTTAGACCAAAAAATAATGAAAAATGAAAAAAAAATATTTGGGGTTTTCGGGCTTCCTGAAGGTAATACCCGGGTATTAGGTTATGGGGCTGGGGTAAGGTTTAAGGTTTTTGGCGTTAGGGTTAAAATCACTGTCCAAAACCTTTGTAGTAACTCTTTTCCAACCTTTTGGAGTTAGTTAGACCAAAAAAAAAGAAAAATGAAAAAAAAAATATTTGGGGTGTTTGGGCTTCCTGAAGGTAATACCCGGGTATTAAGATTTGGGGCTAGGGTAAGGTTTAAGGTTTTGGCGTCAGGGTTTAAATCACTGTCCAAAACCTTTGTAGGAACTATTTTCCAAGCTTTTGGAGTTAGTTAGACCAAAAAGAAATGAAAAATGAAAAAAAAATATTTGTGGTGTTCGGGCTTCCTGAAGATAATACACGGGTATTAGGTTTTGGGGCTAGGGAAAGGTTTAAGGTTTTTGGCGTTAGGGTTAAAATCACTGTCCAAAACCTTTGTAGGAACTCTTTTCCAACCATTTGGAGTTAGTTAGACCAAATAAAAATGAAAAATGAAAAAAAAAATATTTGGCTAGTTTTGGCTTCCTGAAGATAATGCACGGGTATTAGGTTATGGGGCTATGGTAAGGTTTAAGGTTTTTGGCGTTAGGGTTAAAATCACTGTCCAAAACCTTTGTAGGATCTCTTTTCCAAGCTTTTGGAGTTAGTTAGACCAAAAAAAATGAAAAATGAAAAAAAAATATTTGGGGTGTTCGGGCTTCCTGAAGGTAATACCCGGGTATTAGGTTATGGGGCGATGGTAAGGTTTAAGGTTTTGGGCGTTAGGGTTAAAATCACTGTCCAAAACCTTTGTAGGATCTCTTTTCCAACCTTTTGGAGTTAGTTAGACCAAATAAAAATGAAAAATGAAAAAAAAATATTTGGGGTTTTCGGGCTTCCTGAAGGTAATACCCGGGTATTAAGAGTTGGGGCTAGGGTAAGGTTTAAGGTTTTGGCGTTAGGGTTTAAATCACTGTCCAAAACCTTTGTAGGAACTGTTTTCCAACCTTTGGGAGTTAGTTAGACCAAATAAAATTGAAAAATGAAAAAAAAATATTTGGGGTGTTTGGGCTTCCTGAAGGTAATACCCGGGTATTAAGATTTGGGGCTAGGGTAAGGTTAAAGGTTTTGGCGTTAGGGATTAAATCACTGTCCAAAACGTTTGTAGGAACTCTTTTCCAACCTTTTGGCGTTAGGGTTAAAATCACTGTCCAAAACCTTTGTAGGATCTCTTTTCCAACCTTTTGGAGTTAGTTAGACCAAATAAAAATGAAAAATAAAAAAAAAATATTTGGGGTGTTTGGGCTTCCTGAAGGTAATACCCGGGTATTAAGATTTGGGGCTAGGGTAAGGTTAAAGGTTTTGGCATTAGGGTTTAAATCACTGTCCAAAACGTTTGTAGGAACTCTTTTCCAACCTTTTGGAGTTAGTTAGACCAAAAAATAATGAAAAATGAAAAAAAAATATTTGGGGTTTTCGGGCTTCCTGAAGGTAATTCCCGGGTATTAGGTTATGGGGCTGGGGTAAGGTTTAAGGTTTTTGGCGTTAGGGTTAAAATCACTGTCCAAAACCTTTGTAGTAACTCTTTTCCAAGCTTTTGGAGTTAGTTAGACCAAAAAAAAAGAAAAATGAAAAAAAAATATTTGGGGTGTTTGGGCTTCCTGAAGGTAATACCCGGGTATTAAGATTTGGGGCTAGTGTAAGGTTTAAGGTTTTGGCGTCAGGGTTTAAATCGCTGTCCAAAACCTTTGTAGGAACTATTCTCCAAGCTTTTGGAGTTAGTTAGACCAAAAAGAAATGAAAAATGAAAAAAAAATATTTGTGGTGTTCGGGCTTCCTGAAGATAATACACCGGTATTAGGTTTTGGGGCTAGGGAAAGGTTTAAGGTTTTTGGCGTTAGGGTTAAAGTCACTGTCCAAAACCTTTGTAGGAACTCTTTTCCAACCATTTGGAGTTAGTTAGACCAAATAAAAATGAAAAATGAAAAAAACAATATTTGGCTTGTTTTGGCTTCCTGAAGATAATGCACGGGTATTAGGTTATGGGGCTATGGTAAGGTTTAAGGTTTTTGGCATTAGGGTTAAAATCACTGTCCAAAACCTTTGTAGGATCTCTTTTCCAAGCTTTTGGAGTCAGTTAGACCAAAAAAAAAGAAAAATGAAAAAAAAATATTTGGGGTGTTCGGGCTTCCTGAAGGTAATACCCGGGTATTAGGTTATGGGGCTATGGTAAGGTTTAAGGTTTTGGGCGTCAGGGTTTAAATCACTGTCCAAAACCTTTGTAGGATCTCTTTTCCAACCTTTTGGAGTTAGTTAGACCAAATAAAAATGAAAAATGAAAAAAAAATATTTGGGGTTTTCGGGCTTCCTGAAGGTAATACCCGGGTATTAAAAGTTGGGGCTAGGGTAAGGTTTAAGGTTTTTGGCGTTAGGGTTTAAATCACTGTCCAAAACCTTTGTAGGAACTGTTTTCCAACCTTTGGGAGTTAGTTAGACCAAATAAAAATGAAAAATGAAAAAAAAATATTTGGGGTGTTTGGGCTTCCTGAAGGTAATACCCGGGTATTAAGATTTGGGGCTAGGGTAAGGTTAAAGGTTTTGGCGTTAGGGTTTAAATCACTGTCCAAAACGTTTGTAGGAACTCTTTTCCAACCTTTTGGCGTTAGGGTTAAAATCACTGTCCAAAACCTTTGTAGGATCTCTTTTCCAACCTTTTGGAGTTAGTTAGACCAAATAAAAATGAAAAATGAAAAAAAAATATTTGGGGTGTTTGGGCTTCCTGAAGGTAATACCCGGGTATTAAGATTTGGGGCTAGGGTAAGGTTTAAGGTTTTTGGCGTTAGGGTTTAAATCACTGTCCAAAACGTTTGTAGGAACTCTTTTCCAACCTTTTGGAGTTAGTTAGACCAAAAAATAATGAAAAATGAAAAAAAAATATTTGGGGTTTTCGGGCTTCCTGAAGGTAATTCCCGGGTATTAGGTTATGGGGCTGGGGTAAGGTTTAAGGTTTTTGGCGTTAGGGTTAAAATCACTGTCCAAAACCTTTGTAGTAACTCTTTTCCAACCTTTTGAAGTTAGTTAGACCAAAAACAAATGAATAATGAAAAAAAAATATTTGGGGTGTTTGGGCTTCCTGAAGGTAATACCCGGGTATTAAGATTTGGGGCTAGTGTAAGGTTTAAGGTTTTGGCGTTAGGGTTTAAATCGCTGTCCAAAACCTTTGTAGGAACTATTCTCCAAGCTTTTGGAGTTAGTTAGACCAAAAAGAAATGAAAAATGAAAAAAAAATATTTGTGGTGTTCGGGCTTCCTGAAGATAATACACCGGTATTAGGTTTTGGGGCTAGGGAAAGGTTTAAGGTTTTTGGCGTTAGGGTTAAAATCACTGTCCAAAACCTTTGTAGGAACTCTTTTCCAACCATTTGGAGTTAGTTAGACCAAATAAAAATGAAAAATGAAAAAAACAATATTTGGCTTGTTTTGGCTTCCTGAAGATAATGCACGGGTATTAGGTTATGGGGCTATGGTAAGGTTTAAGGTTTTTGGCATTAGGGTTAAAATCACTGTCCAAAACCTTTGTAGGATCTCTTTTCCAAGCTTTTGGAGTCAGTTAGACCAAAAAAAAAGAAAAATGAAAAAAAAATATTTGGGGTGTTCGGGCTTCCTGAAGGTAATACCCGGGTATTAGGTTATGGGGCTATGGTAAGGTTTAAGGTTTTGGGCGTTAGGGTTTAAATCACTGTCCAAAACCTTTGTAGGATCTCTTTTCCAACCTTTTGGAGTTAGTTAGACCAAATAAAAATGAAAAATGAAAAAAAAATATTTGGGGTTTTCGGGCTTCCTGAAGGTAATACCCGGGTATTAAGAGTTGGGGCTAGGGTAAGGTTTAAGGTTTTGGTGTTAGGGTTTAAATCACTGTCCAAAACCTTTGTAGGAACTGTTTTCCAACCTTTGGGAGTTAGTTAGACCAAATAAAAATGAAAAATGAAAAAAAAATATTTGGGGTGTTTGGGCTTCCTGAAGGTAATACCCGGGTATTAAGATTTGGGGCTAGGGTAAGGTTTAAGGTTTTGGCGTTAGGGTTTAAATCACTGTCCAAAACCTTTGTAGGAACTGTTTTCCAACCTTTTGGAGTTTGTTAGACCAAAAAGAAATGAAAAATGAAAAAAAAAAATTAGTGGTGTTCGGGCTTCCTGAAGATAATACACCGGTATTAGGTTATGGGGCTATGGTAAGGTTTAAGGTTTTTGGCGTTAGGGTTTAAATCACTGTCCAAAACCTTTGTAGGATCTCTTTTCCAACCTTTTGGAGTTAGTTAGACCAAATAAAAATGAAAAATGAAAAAAAAATATTTGGGGTTTTCGGGCTTCCTGAAGGTAATACCCGGGTATTAAGAGTTGGGGCTAGGGTAAGGTTTAAGGTTTTGGCGTTAGGGTTTAAATCACTGTCCAAAACCTTTGTAGGAACTGTTTTCCAACCTTTGGGAGTTAGTTAGACCAAATAAAAATGAAAAATGAAAAAAAAATATTTGGGGTGTTTGGGCTTCCTGAAGGTAATACCCGGGTATTAAGATTTGGGGCTAGGGTAAGGTTAAAGGTTTTGGCGTTAGGGTTTAAATCACTGTCCAAAACGTTTGTATGAACTCTTTTCCAACCTTTTGGCGTTAGGGTTAAAATCACTGTCCAAAACCTTTGTAGGATCTCTTTTCCAACCTTTTGGAGTTAGTTAGACCAAATAAAAATGAAAAATGAAAAAAAAATATTTGGGGTGTTGGGGCTACCTGAAGATAATACCCGGGTATTAAGATTTGGGGCTAGGGGAAGGTTAAAGGTTTTGGCATTAGGGTTTAAATCACTGTCCAAAACGTTTGTAGGAACTCTTTTCCAACCTTTTGGAGTTAGTTAGACCAAAAAATAATGAAAAATGAAAAAAAAATATTTGGGGTGTTCGGGCTTCCTGAAGATAATACACCGGTATTAGGTTTTGGGGCTAGGGAAAGGTTTAAGGTTTTTGGCGTTAGGGTTAAAATCACTGTCCAAAACCTTTGTAGGAACTCTTTTCCAACCATTTGGAGTTAGTTAGACCAAATAAAAATGAAAAATGAAAAAAAAAATATTTGGCTTGTTTTGGCTTCCTGAAGATAATGCACGGGTATTAGGTTATGGGGCTATGGTAAGGTTTAAGGTTTTTGGCGTTAGGGTTAAAATCACTGTCCAAAACCTTTGTAGGATCTCTTTTCCAAGCTTTTGGAGTTAGTTAGACCAAAAAAAAGAAAAATGAAAAAAAAATATTTGGGGTGTTCAGGCTTCCTGAAGGTAATACCCGGGTATTAGGTTATGGGGCTATGGTTAGGTTTAAGGTTTTGGGCGTTAGGGTTAAAATCACTGTCCAAAACCTTTGTAGGATCTCTTTTCCAACCTTTTGGAGTTAGTTAGACCAAATAAAAATGAATAATGAAAAAAAAGATTTGGGGTTTTCGGGCTTCCTGAAGGTAATACCCGGGTATTAAGAGTTGGGGCTAGGGTAAGGTTTAAGGTTTTGGCGTTAGGGTTTAAATCACTGTCCAAAACCTTTGTAGGAACTGTTTTCCAACCTTTGGGAGTTAGTTAGACCAAATAAAAATGAAAAATGAAAAAAAAATATTTGGGGTGTTTGGGCTTCCTGAAGGTAATACCCGGGTATTAAGATTTGGGGCTAGGGTAAGGTTAAAGGTTTTGGCGTTAGGGTTTAAATCACTGTCCAAAACGTTTGTAGGAACTCTTTTCCAACCTTTTGGCGTTAGGGTTAAAATCACTGTCCAAAACCTTTGTAGGATCTCTTTTCCAACCTTTTGGAGTTAGTTAGACCAAATAAAAATGAAAAATGAAAAAAAAATATTTGGGGTTTTCGGGCTTCCTGAAGGTAATACCCGGGTATTAAGAGTTGGGGCTAGGGTAAGGTTTAAGGTTTTGGCGTTAGGGTTTAAATCACTGTCCAAAACCTTTGTAGGAACTGTTTTCCAACCTTTGGGAGTTAGTTAGACCAAATAAAAATGAAAAATGAAAAAAAAATATTTGGGGTGTTTGGGCTTCCTGAAGGTAATACCCGGGTATTAAGATTTGGTGCTAGGGTAAGGTTAAAGGTTTTGGCGTTAGGGTTAAATCACTGTCCAAAACGTTTGTAGGAACTCTTTTCCAACCTTTTGGAGTTAGTTAGACCAAAAAATAATGAAAAATGAAAAAAATATTTGGGGTTTTCGGGCTTCCTGAAGGTAATACCCGGGTATTAGGTTATGGGGCTGGGGTAAGGTTTAAGGTTTTTGGCGTTAGGGTTAAAATCACTGTCCAAAACCTTTGTAGTAACTCTTTTCCAACCTTTTGGAGTTAGTTAGACCAAAAAAAAATGAAAAATGAAAAAAAAATATTTGGGGTGTTTGGGCTTCCTGAAGGTAATACCCGGGTATTAAGATTTGGGGCTAGGGTAAGGTTTAAGGTTTTGGCGTCAGGGTTTAAATCACTGTCCAAAACCTTTGTAGGAACTATTTTCCAAGCTTTTGGAGTTAGTTAGACCAAAAAGAAATGAAAAATGAAAAAAAAATATTTGTGGTGTTCGGGCTTCCTGAAGATAATACACGGGTATTAGGTTTTGGGGCTAGGGAAAGGTTTAAGGTTTTTGGCGTTAGGGTTAAAATCACTGTCCAAAACCTTTGTAGGAACTCTTTTCCAACCATTTGGAGTTAGTTAGACCAAATAAAAATGAAAAATGAAAAAAAAAATATTTGGCTTGTTTTGGCTTCCTGAAGATAATGCACGGGTATTAGGTTATGGGGCTATGGTAAGGTTTAAGGTTTTTGGCGTTAGGGTTAAAATCACTGTCCAAAACCTTTGTAGGATCTCTTTTCCAAGCTTTTGGAGTTAGTTAGACCAAAAAAAAAGAAAAATGAAAAAAAAATATTTGGGGTGTTCGGGCTTCCTGAAGGTAATACCCGGGTATTAGGTTATGGGGCTATGGTAAGGTTTAAGGTTTTGGGCGTTAGGGTTAAAATCACTGTCCAAAACCTTTGTAGGATCTCTTTTCCAACCTTTTGGAGTTAGTTAGACCAAATAAAAATGAAAAATGAAAAAAAAATATTTGGGGTTTTCGGGCTTCCTGAAGGTAATACCCGGGTATTAAGATTTGGGGCTAGGGTAAGGTTAAAGGTTTTGGCGTTAGGGTTTAAATCACTGTCCAAAACGTTTGTAGGAACTCTTTTCCAACCTTTTGGCGTTAGGGTTAAAATCACTGTCCAAAACCTTTGTAGGATCTCTTTTCCAACCTTTTGGAGTTAGTTAGACCAAATAAAAATGAAAAATGAAAAAAAAATATTTGGGGTGTTGGGGCTACCTGAAGATAATACCCGGGTATTAAGATTTGGGGCTAGGGTAAGGTTAAAGGTTTTGGCATTAGGGTTTAAATCACTGTCCAAAACGTTTGTAGGAACTCTTTTCCAACCATTTGGAGTTAGTTAGACCAAATAAAAATGAAAAATGAAAAATAAATATTTGGCTTGTTTTGGCTTCCTGAAGATAATGCACGGGTATTAGGTTTTGGGGCTAGGGTAAGGTTTAAGGTTTTTGGCATTAGGGTTAAAATCACTGTCCAAAACCTTTGTAGGAACTGTTTTCCAACCTTTTGGAGTTAGTTAGACCAAATAAAAATGAAAAATGAAAAAAAAAAATATTTGGGGTGTTTGGGCTTCCTGAAGGTAATACCCGGGTATTAAGAGTTGGGGCTAGGGTAAGGTTTAAGGTTTTGGCGTCAGGGTTTAAATCACTGTCCAAAACCTTTGTAGGAACTGTTTTCCAACCTTTTGGAGTTAGTTAGACCAAATAAAAATGAAAAATGAAAAAAAAATATTTGGGGTGTTTGGGCTTCCTGAAGGTAATACCCGGGTATTAAGATTTGGGGCTAGGGTAAGGTTTAAGGTTTTGGCGTTAGGGTTGAAATCACTGTCCAAAGCCTTTGTAGGAACTCTTTTCCAACCTTTTGGAGTTAGTTAGACCAAAAAGAAATGAAAAATGAAAAAAAAATATTTGTGGTGTTCGGGCTTCCTGAAGATAATACACGGGTATTAGATTTTGGGGCTAGGGAAAGGTTTAAGGTTTTTGGCGTTAGGGTTAAAATCACTGTCCAAAACCTTTGTAGGAACTCTTTTCCAACCTTTTGGAGTTAGTTAGACCAAATAAAAATGAAAAATGAAAAATAAATATTTGGCTTGTTTTGGCTTCCTGAAGATAATGCACGGGTATTAGGTTTTGGGGCTAGGGTAAGGTTTAAGGTTTTTGGCATTAGGGTTAAAATCACTGTCCAAAACCTTTGTAGGAACTGTTTTCCAACCTTTTGGAGTTAGTTAGACCAAATAAAAATGAAAAATGAAAAAAAAAATATTTGGGGTGTTTGGGCTTCCTGAAGGTAATACCCGGGTATTAAGAGTTGGGGCTAGGGTAAGGTTTAAGGTTTTGGCGTTAGGGTTTAAATCACTGTCCAAAACCTTTGTAGGAACTGTTTTCCAACCTTTTGGAGTTAGTTAGACCAAATAAAAATGAAAAATGAAAAAAATATATTTGGGGTGTTTGGGCTTCCTGAAGGTAATACCCGGGTATTAAGATTTGGGGCTAGGGTAAGGTTTAAGGTTTTGGCGTTAGGGTTTAAATCACTGTCCAAAACGTTTGTAGGAACTCTTTTCCAACCTTTTGGAGTTAGTTAGACCAAAAAGAAATGAAAAATGAAAAAAAAATATTTGTGGTGTTCGGGCTTCCTGAAGATAATACACGGGTATTAGGTTTTGGGGCTAGGGGAAGGTTTAAGGTTTTTGGCGTTAGGGTTAAAATCACTGTCCAAAACCTATTTAGGAACATGTTTCAGACCTTTTGGAGTTGGTTACACCAAATAAAAATAAAAAATAAAAAAAAAATATTTGGGGTGTTCGGGCTTCCTGAAGGTAATACCCGGGTATAAGTTTTGGGGCTATGGTAAGGTTTAAGGTTTTTGGCGTTAGGGTTAAAATCACTGTCCAAAACCTTTGTAGGAACTCTTTTCCAAGCTTTTGGAGTTAGTTTGACCAAAAAGAAATGAAAAATGAAAAAAAAATATTTGTGGTGTTCGGGCTTCCTGAAGATAATACACGGGTATTAGGTTTTGGGGCTAGGGTAAGGTTTAAGGTTTTTGGCGTTAGGGTTAAAATCACTGTCCAAAACCTTTGTAGGAACTCTTTTCCAACCTTTTGGAGTTAGTTAGACCAAAAAAAATGAAAAATGAAAAAGAAATATTTGGGGTGTTCGGGCTTCCTGAAGGTAATACCCGGGTATTAGGTTTTGGGGCTAGGGTAAGGTTTAAGGTTTTTGGCATTAGGGTTAAAATCACTGTCCAAAACCTATTTAGGAACATGTTTCAGACCTTTTGGAGTTGGTTACACCAAATAAAAATAAAAAATAAAAAATAAATATTTGGGGTGTTCGGGCTTCCTGAAGGTAATACCCGGGTATAAGTTTTGGGGCTATGGTAAGGTTTAAGGTTTTTGGCGTTAGGGTTAAAATCACTGTCCAAAACCTTTGTAGGAACTCTTTTCCAACCTTTTGGAGTTAGTTAGACCAAATAAAAATGAAAAATGAAAAAAAAAATATTTGGGGTGTTTGGGCTTCCTGAAGGTAATACCCGGGTATTAAGAGTTGGGGCTAGGGTAAGGTTTAAGGTTTTGGCGTTAGGGTTTAAATCACTATCCAAAACCTTTGTAGGAACTGTTTTCCAACCTTTTGGAGTTAGTTAGACCAAATAAAAATGAAAAATGAAAAAATATATATTTGGGGTGTTTGGGCTTCCTGAAGGTAATACCCGGGTATTAAGAGTTGGGGCTAGGGTAAGGTTAAAGGTTTTGGCGTTAGGGTTTAAATCACTGTCCAAAACCTTTGTAGGAACTGTTTTCCAACCTTTTGGGAGTTAGTTAGACCAAATAAAAATGAAAAATGAAAAAAAATATATTTGGGGTGTTTGGGCTTCCTGAAGGTAATACCCGGGTATTAAGAGTTGGGGCTAGGGTAAGGTTTAAGGTTTTGGGCGTTAGGGTTTAAATCACTGTCCAAAACGTTTGTAGGAACTATTTTCCAAGCTTTGGGAGTTAGTTAGACCAAAATGAAATGAAAAATGAAAAAAAAATATTTGTGGTGTTTGGGCTTCCTGAAGATAATACACGGGTATTAGGTTTTGGGGCTAGGGAAAGGTTTAAGGTTTTTGGCGTTAGGGTTAAAATCACTGTCCAAAACCTTTGTAGGAACTCTTTTCCAACCTTTTGGAGTTAGTTAGACCAAAAAAAAAGAAAAATGAAAAAAAACAATATTTGGGGTGTTTGGGCTTCCTGAAGGTAATACCCGGGTATTAAGATTTGGGGCTAGGGTAAGGTTTAAGGTTTTGGCGTTAGGGTTTAAATCACTGTCCAAAACGTTTGTAGGAACTATTTTCCAAGCTTTTGGAGTTAGTTAGACCAAAAAGAAATGAAAAATGAAAAAAAAATATTTGGGGTGTTCGGGCTTCCTGAAGATAATACACGGGTATTAGGTTTTGGGGCTAGGGAAAGGTTTAAGGTTTTTGGCGTTAGGGTTAAAATCACTGTCCAAAACCTTTGTAGGAACTGTTTTCCAACCATTTGGAGTTAGTTAGACCAAATAAAAATGAAAAATGAAAAAAATATATTTGGGGTGTTTGGGCTTCCTGAAGGTAATACCCGGGTATGAAGATTTGGGGCTAGGGTAAGGTTAAAGGTTTTGGCGTTAGGGTTAAAATCACTGTCCAAAACCTTTGTAGGAACTATTTTCCAAGCTTTGGGAGTTAGTTAGACCAAAAGGAAATGAAAAATGAAAAAAAAATATTTGGGGTTTTCGGGATTCCTGAAGGTAATACCCGGGTATTAGGTTTTGGGGCTAGGGGAAGGTTTAAGGTTTTTGGCGTTAGGGTTAAAATGACTGTCCAAAACCTATTTAGGAACATGTTTCAGACCTTTTGGAGTTGGTTACACCAAATAAAAATAAAAAATAAAAAATAAATATTTGGGGTGTTCGGGCTTCCTGAAGGTAATACCCGGGTATTAAGTTTTGGGGCTATGGGGAAGGTTTAAGGTTTTTGGCGTTAGGGTTAAAATCACTGTCCAAAACCTTTGTAGGAACTCTTTTCCAAGCTTTTGGAGTTAGTTTGACCAAAAAGAAATGAAAAATGAAAAAAAAATATTTGTGGTGTTCGGGCTTCCTGAAGATAATACCCGGGTATTAGGTTTTGTGGCTAGGGAAAGGTTTAAGGTTTTTGGCGTTAGGGTTAAAATCACTGTCCAAAACCTTTGTAGGAACTCTTTTCCAACCTTTTGGAGTTAGTTATACCAAAAAAATGAAAAATGAAAAAGAAATATTTGGGGTTTTCGGGCTTCCTGAAGGTAATACTATTAGGTTTTGGGGCTAGGGTAAGGTTTAAGGTTTTTGGCATTAGGGTTAAAATGACTGTCCAAAACCTATTTAGGAACATGTTTCAGACCTTTTGGAGTTGGTTACACCAAATAAAAAAAAAAATAAAAAAAAAATATTTGGGGTGTTCGGGCTTCCTGAAGGTAATACCCGGGTATAAGTTTTGGGGCTATGGTAAGGTTTAAGGTTTTTGGCGTTAGGGTTAAAATCACTGTCCAAAACCTTTGTAGGAACTCTTTTCCAACCTTTTGGAGTTAGTTAGACCAAATAAAAATGAAAAATGAAAAAAAAAATATTTGGGGTGTTTGGGCTTCCTGAAGGTAATACCCGGGTATTAAGAGTTGGGGCTAGGGTAAGGTTTAAGGTTTTGGCGTTAGGGTTTAAATCACTGTCCAAAACCTTTGTAGGAACTGTTTTCCAACCTTTTGGAGTTAGTTAGACCAAATAAAAATGAAAAATGAAAAAATATATATTTGGGGTGTTTGGGCTTCCTGAAGGTAATACCCGGGTATTAAGAGTTGGGGCTAGGGTAAGGTTAAAGGTTTTGGCGTTAGGGTTTAAATCACTGTCCAAAACCTTTGTAGGAACTGTTTTCCAACCTTTTGGAGTTAGTTAGACCAAATAAAAATGAAAAATGAAAAAAAATATATTTGGGGTGTTTGGGCTTCCTGAAGGTAATACCCGGGTATTAAGAGTTGGGGCTAGGGTAAGGTTTAAGGTTTTGGCGTTAGGGTTTAAATCACTGTCCAAAACGTTTGTAGGAACTATTTTCCAAGCTTTGGGAGTTAGTTAGACCAAAATGAAATGAAAAATGAAAAAAAAATATTTGTGGTGTTTGGGCTTCCTGAAGATAATACACGGGTATTAGGTTTTGGGGCTAGGGAAAGGTTTAAGGTTTTTGGCGTTAGGGTTAAAATCACTGTCCAAAACCTTTGTAGGAACTCTTTTCCAACCATTTGGAGTTAGTTAGACCAAAATGAAATGAAAAATGAAAAAAAAATATTTGGGGTTTTCGGGATTCCTGAAGGTAATACCCGGGTATTAGGTTTTGGGGATAGGGGAAGGTTTAAGGTTTTTGGCGTTAGGGTTAAAATGACTGTCCAAAACCTATTTAGGAACATGTTTCAGACCTTTTGGAGTTGGTTACACCAAATAAAAATAAAAAATAAAAAATATATATTTGGGGTGTTCGGGCTTCCTGAAGATAATACACGGGTATTAGGTTTTGGGGCTAGGGAAAGGTTTAAAGTTTTTGGCGTTAGGGTTAAAATCACTGTCCAAAACCTTTGTAGGAACTGTTTTCCAACCTTTGGGAGTTAGTTAGACCAAATAAAAATAAAAAATAAAAAATATATATTTGGGGTGTTCGGGCTTCCTGAAGATAATACACGGGTATTAGGTTTTGGGGATAGGGGAAGGTTTAAGGTTTTTGGCGTTAGGGTTAAAATGACTGTCCAAAACCTATTTAGGAACATGTTTCAGACCTTTTGGAGTTGGTTACACCAAATAAAAATAAAAAATAAAAAATATATATTTGGGGTGTTCGGGCTTCCTGAAGGTAATACCCGGGTATTAAGAGTTGGGGCTAGGGTAAGGTTAAAGGTTTTGGCGTTAGGGTTTAAATCACTGTCCAAAACCTTTGTAGGAACTGTTTTCCAACCTTTTGGAGTTAGTTAGACCAAATAAAAATGAAAAATGAAAAAAATATATTTGGGGTGTTTGGGCTTCCTGAAGGTAATACCCGGGTATTAAGATTTGGGGCTAGGGTAAGGTCAAAGGTTTTGGCGTTAGGGTTTAAATCACTATCCAAAACGTTTGTAGGATCTCTTTTCCAACCTTTTGGAGTTAGTTAGACCAAAAAATAATGAAAAATGAAAAAAAAATATTTGGGGTTTTTTGGGCTTCCTGAAGGTAATACCCAGGTATTAGGTTTAGGGGCTAGGGGAAGGTTTAAGGTTTTTGGCGTTAGGGTTAAAATCACTGTCCAAAACCTTTGTAGTAACTCTTTTCCAACCTTTTGGAGTTAGTTAGACTAAAAAAAAAGAAAGATGAAAAAAAAAATATTTGGGGTTTTCGGGCTTCCTGAAGGTAATACTTTAATAATATTAGGTTTTGGGGCTAGGGTAAGGTTTAAGGTTTTTGGCGTTAGGGTTAAAATGACTGTCCAAAACCTATTTAGGAACATGTTTCAGACCTTTTGGAGTTGGTTACACCAAATAAAAATAAAAAATAAAAAAAAAATATTTGGGGTGTTCGGGCTTCCTGAAGGTAATATCCGGGTATTAAGATTTGGGGCTAGGGTAAGGTTTAAGGTTTTGGCGTTAGGGTTTAAATCACTGTCCAAAACCTTTGTAGGAACTGTTTTCCAACCTTTTGGAGTTAGTTAGACCAAATAAAAATGAAAAATGAAAAAAAAATATTTGGGGTGTTTGGGCTTCCTGAAGGTAATACCCGGGTATTAAGAGTTGGGGCTAGGGTAAGGTTTAAGGTTTTGGGCGTTAGGGTTTAAATCACTGTCCAAAACGTTTGTAGGAACTATTTTCCAAGCTTTGGGAGTTAGTTAGACCAAAATGAAATGAAAAATGAAAAAAAAATATTTGTGGTGTTTGGGCTTCCTGAAGATAATACACGGGTATTAGGTTTTGGGGCTAGGGTAAGGTTTAAGGTTTTTGGCGTTAGGGTTAAAATGACTGTCCAAAACCTATTTAGGAACATGTTTCAGACCTTTTGGAGTTGGTTACACCAAATAAAAATGAAAAATGAAAAAAAAATATTTGGGGTGTCTGGGCTTCCTGAATGTAATACCCGGGTATTAAGATTTGGGGCTAGGGTAAGGTTTAAGGTTTTGGCGTTAGGGTTTAAATCACTGTCCAAAACCTTTGTAGGAACTGTTTTCCAACCTTTTGGAGTTAGTTAGACCAAATAAAAATGAAAAATGAAAAAAAATATATTTGGGGTGTTTGGGCTTCCTGAAGGTAATACCCGGGTATTAAGAGTTGGGGCTAGGGTAAGGTTTAAGGTTTTGGGCGTTAGGGTTTAAATCACTGTCCAAAACGTTTGTAGGAACTATTTTCCAAGCTTTGGGAGTTAGTTAGACCAAAATGAAATGAAAAATGAAAAAAAAATATTTGGGGTGTTTGGGCTTCCTGAAGGTAATACACGGGTATTAGGTTTTGGGGCTAGGGAAAGGTTTAAGGTTTTTGGCGTTAGGGTTAAAATCACTGTCCAAAACCTTTGTAGGAACTCTTTTCCAACCATTTGGAGTTAGTTAGACCAAAATGAAATGAAAAATGAAAAAAAAATATTTGGGGTTTTCGGGATTCCTGAAGGTAATACCCGGGTATTAAGATTTGGGGCTAGGGTAAGGTTAAAGGTTTTGGCATTAGGGTTTAAATCACTGTCCAAAACGTTTGTAGGAACTCTTTTCCAACCTTTTGGAGTTAGACCAAAAAATAATGAAAAATGAAAAAAAAATATTTGGGGTTTTCGGGCTTCCTGAAGGTAATACCCGGGTATTAGGTTATGGGGCTGGGGTAAGGTTTAAGGTTTTTGGCGTTAGGGTTAAAATCACTGTCCAAAACCTTTGTAGTAACTCTTTTCCAACCTTTTGGAGTTAGTTAGACCAAAAAAAAAGAAAAATGAAAAAAAAAAATATTTGGGGTGTTTGGGCTTCCTGAAGGTAATACCCGGGTATTAAGATTTGGGGCTAGGGTAAGGTTTAAGGTTTTGGCGTCAGGGTTTAAATCACTGTCCAAAACGTTTGTAGGAACTATTTTCCAAGCTTTTGGAGTTAGTTAGACCAAAAAGAAATGAAAAATGAAAAAAAAATATTTGTGGTGTTCGGGCTTCCTGAAGATAATACACGGGTATTAGGTTTTGGGGCTAGGGAAAGGTTTAAGGTTTTTGGCGTTAGGGTTAAAATCACTGTCCAAAACCTTTGTAGGAACTCTTTTCCAACCATTTGGAGTTAGTTAGACCAAATAAAAATGAAAAATGAAAAAAAAAATATTTGGCTTGTTTTGGCTTCCTGAAGATAATGCACGGGTATTAGGTTATGGGGCTATGGTAAGGTTTAAGGTTTTTGGTGTTAAGGTTAAAATGACTGTCCAAAACCTATTTAGGAACATGTTTCAGACCTTTTGGAGTTGGTTACACCAAAAAAAAATTTAAAATGAAAAAAAAATATTTGGGGTGTTTGGGCTTCCTGAAGGTAATACCCGGGTATAAAGATTTGGGGCTAGGGTAAGGTTTAAGGTTTTGGCGTTAGGGTTAAAATCACTGTCCAAAACCTTTGTAGGAACTCTTTTCCAACCTTTTGGAGTTAGTTAGACCAAAAAAAAAAAAGAAAAATAAAAAAAAAAATATTTGGGGTGTTTGGGCTTCCTTAAGGTAATACCCGGGAATTAGGTTATGGGGCTTTGGAAAGGTTTAAGGTTTTTTGCGTTAGGGTTAAAATCACTGTCCAAAACCTTTGTAGGTACTTTTTTCCAACCTTTTGGAGTTAGACCAAAAAAAAAACGAAAAATAATAAAAAAATGTTTGGGGTGTAAAGGCTTCCTGAAGGTAATTTTTTGGTCTAACTAACTCCAAAAGGTCTGAAACATGTTCCTTAAAAAATATTGGACAGTGATTTTAACCCTAACGCCAAAAACCCCCGTAACCTAAGTATTAGGTTCCGGGGCTAGGGAAAGGTTTAAGCTTTTTGGCATTAGGGTTAAAATCACTGTCCAAAACCTTTGTAGGAACAAGTTTCAGACCTTTTGGAGTTAGTTACACCAAAAAGAAATTTAAAATGAAAAAAAATATTTGGGGTGTTCGGGCTTCCTTAAGGTAATACCCGGTATTAGGTTTTGGGGCTATGGTAAGG